CTTTTCTTCGTCTCCTTTGTGCACTCCTTAGACCAGGCGTGGGCAAACTTTCAGACTCATGGGCCACAATTGAAATTGAACAAGGGGGCCGGGTCAGGAGCAGATAGTAAAAGTAAAAGCATAAAGCCTAAAATGCCAAAATGCTTTTATAATTATCTACGCCATCTATTGGGAAAACCTGGGAATGCAGGGAAAAGGCATACCCACGATATGTTACATTACAATCCATATAATATGAATAAATTATATAATTTGGAAAAGTTTGGTGGACCGGATTAAAAAGATGAACTGGCCGCATCCGGCCCCCGGGCCTTAGTTTGCCCATCCCTTTCTTAGACGATTGATCCTCGGTTCATGAACTCATCAAACTTTACTACCTCCACACCCGACAGCTCTATCTGACCGCTACACCTCTGAGTAACGTGCACGTCGTGCACGCCTGTGACATCATCACCTGTCATCTTTGATCAATTGTACAAAGTTTTAGTCATTCAAAATCATGATAATCCTGTAAAGTTAACCAGAAAAACTTCTGTTATTATTTTTGGGTTATTCACCCAAACTTTTTTTGTGATGTCACTGTAGACAAACAGTTGCTTCAGTCCTAACACCTTCTCATTTGCATAAGAATGCCCCCAAGGGGCTTCACTGCAGAGCCGGTTAATTATCATGGTGAGTCTGCTTAAATGTTTATTCAACCACATGAATGGGATTAAATACTCCGTGGGTGGTGTTATTTATTTTGTTCTTCCCTCATTTTCTGGTTTTATGTTGTGCCCTCAGTTTTACTGTAGTGCCATTTCTGTTTTGTTTTTTATAAACTGATGTTTATCGTGGTGTTTCCTTTGAAATGTCATCCATCAGTTATTCATCTGCGGAGAATTCATAGGTAGAGCAGAGTCAGTGAATCTGTCCGTCCCTTATTCTCTTGTTAATCACCCCCGTAAGAGAAATCGGTGGTGAAGTGTACATTTAAAGCTCCGGTTTTTATGATGACTCAAGTTGCCACCATTAGACAGTCGTCACACAGAGAAGCACTGGCTCAGCGATCCTCCAACCTCTGCTCTCAGCTTTTCTGTGGATGTGACACATTTGACACAGTGAGATGAAAACCATCACAATACAGGTCTGCTCACACACACACAGCCCTGTCACACACACACATGGATGCATGTAATGCACAGCTTTGTGTGTGTGTGTGTGTGTGTGTGTGTGTGTGCATCCAAAATGATCAGATAAAATACGTGTGTGTCAGTCTTTCCACACAAAATAATTTATGGTCATCACATCAGCAGGGAAAACAAAGCTCTAAAGTAGAATTTCACACGGATGGATTTTCAGGAATGTGAAAGTGAATACGTGTTAATGCTTCAGCAACAGCTTTGTAAACCATTTATCTTCATTAACTTCTATTGTCTGGCAAAACAGGAAGTTCTGATCCATTGACGTGTTGTTAAACATCACGGCTAACGAACAACTGTTCACACTTCTGATTCTTTAATCCCAGGTCGTCTGTGATATAAAAGCCTATGTTTATATTAAAAACCCTTTGTTATTTATTTTCATGTCAAGTTTGTCCAAGCACAAGTCTCCAACATTTGCATATAAATATCCACCAAGCTCAGTGTTTACTTTCTGCTTTGGCTTAGACGGAAATGAAAGCTGGCTTATCAATCAAAGGGAAGGTCAGGATGTAGGAGAGTGATGGAGACCAGAATGAGGAGAAAATGATTTAGCACGAGCGGAGGAGAGAAGATGTTGATGTTGTAGAAGAACAGTGGACATTGGTCTGGAAAACTAAATATAAAAATGATCAATTATTATAGAGGAAAGTGCAAAAAACAAGTAGTTGTATTGAGAGTATTTTTACTGTATAAACATTAAGACTCTAAATGTTGTGATCAGCACACGACAGGCAGCAGTTTGTCTCTAAAAGTCTCTCGTAAACACACACTCTGCTGTGTTTTTCAGAAGCACTGTCATAATATTGTAGCTCCACGTCTTAAACAGTTCGTCCAATCATCATGCAGGAGATTGCTGCTCATTGTCTTCCAGTAAAGCCCAGCCCACTGTTTAATAAGGAGTCGTAGTAGGAGAAAATCTCATTGGAAGATCTGTGATAAACATCACATCAGTACAATCAAGTCATAAACAGCTGTTGACCGGGTTTATTATCCCATTAGTAACAGATATGAAATGGTGGAATTTGACCATTTAATTTATGACATTCCACAGACCGCCGATCGTCCCTCATCGCCGTAGAGCAGTTACCACTGGTGGGGAGGTTAATGTCAGCATGACAGGCTCTGACATTTACACTAAACTATACTCCTGAAAACCCACATAACAGGAATAAACTGGAGGAATGTATGTGCACTTAATATTATATTAGGTTTATATTAACAAAACTAAAACAGAGCAAAATAAGTTTTACAAATATGAAACCAAATTTGATCACACACTGAACTGTATGTGTGTATTTGTGTGTGTGTGTGTGTGTGTGCTCATGCATGTGTGATCCATCTGTCAGACCTGTCCCATAAGAGCTTATCTGAAAACTCCTCCATGCTGTAAGCATAATACGGTCCCTGTGTTTCTGCTGCAGTGGGAAGTTTTTGGCCTCGTCTATAACTAAACCTTTTTAGTCAGCTGACACTGCCAGCAGTCATTAACTTAATCGCATTCAATTTATTCACCAGGAGAGACTTTACTTTTCATCACAGCTGCAGAGGAGGAGACGGCAGAGAAAGGTTCCTAACAACATCACGTCGGAGTGACAATTCCGTTTTTTTTTTTGTTTTGTTGTTGAAATAAAGCAATCCTGCTCCACACAGTGACTGCTGTTGTGACACACAGGGCTGTGCAGGTTGGTCAAGGATCCACGTACGCTGACCTCCAGAGCCATAAACCATCTCCACGACTCTCACACCATCTATTTGCGTGTGATTAGGTGCAGTGAGCAGCCTATTTGGTTCATTATGTCTGTGGCAGCCACACAGCCCCATGAGTTATGGAGGAATAAATGTGTTTTAGAGCACAATACAATATGTAACTTATAAATAATTACTTTTACTGCACCTCTGAAGTTTGCTCAACTCTGGGACACAACAGCGTTGGACTTTCCACAGGAGTGGAATTAATTTCTACACATTAACAGTGAGAAAGATGTGCAGGTTATTTTTCAGACATCAGCTCTACATCACAGTGGTGCTGCTAAATGGGTCGAGAAGGAACCGTTCCACCGCTGTAGCAGTAATAGAATTTGTGGAAAATATGGCAACAGCACCAGATGAGAAACAGTATTCAAGTGGGGTTTTATTTCATTATAGATTTAAGGAAAGCATTTCAGACAAGTAATCAGTCTGTGCTTCTGCAGAGATTAGATTGTCACGCAGCAAGAAGAATAGCAAACCAGTAGTGAAAGTTATTTAAGAAACGGATTTCTGTAAGTAAAAATAAAACCATTTAGAATCACAGCTCCCAAAAAAAACAACATATGGAGTTCCCCAAGGCTCAGTGCTGGGGCCCGTGTTGGTTAAACACATTTTCACGGCACTGCAATAGATACTAGTTTCTTATGTTTTTCTACATAATAATAATGTTTAATTCCACAAAACAATTGTACTAATTGTACTTCATTAAAGCCGTACTGTAATTATTATAAATCCTACTTGGCTCTAAAGTCTTTCCTGCCTCTTGCACAATACCGTACAAAATTGGGTCCATGATTTCCTGTTATCCAGACTTCGGACATTGTTCAGATTAGTGTGCTTTGCAAATTGAAATTTCTCCAGTAAAATTCCTAGGACGAAGAGACTCCGCCCACAGCCGACCCACAGCTGTGATTATTTCACCTCTAATAATGATGGTTTGGGAACATAATCTCATATGGCAACAAAATGACTTTTTTTGTGACAAAGTTTGACTGTAACTTAGAAAAGAATTCCAGGCAGCCCTTCAGAATAAATTATAATTTGTCTTAATTTCTTGTCTCCAGTGGTGATGCTAAGCTGCTTTGGCTCTGGGTGTCACCAAGCATTAGGATATGCATTGACTCTGTGACTTCAGCCGAGACATTTCAGCTGTGATGAAACTGTTTCCTGTCTTCATGCAACTTAATGTCACTTCTCAAGTTGTGTGGGGAAGGAAAAAAAACAAAGTGCATGTATTTCTAACATATAGCCCACCCCTGTGGTGGAGCGGAGGTTGCAAAGTAGGACACTTTCTCTCCCTCCAGAGTTACCGCCACAGCCTCTGCCTGACTGTCAAAGCAGCTGTCGAACAGAGTTAGCGTGGTGTGGCAAAATACTCAAAAAACATTCTTGGAGCGTTCGTGTGATCTAAAAATACCAGCACTGGAAAAACAAAGATCTCAAATCAAAAGTGACGACAGGTTGTGTTTTTCATTGATGTTTAGACCAAAGACTATAACTGGTGAAATACTGTATGACCTTCTATATCAACAGCTAATATGAGGCTAAATACATTGTTTGGCTTCAGAGTTTGTGCAGTTGTGACCAAACATTTAGAGTCAAACCCAATTCAATATAATGAAATATATGAAGAAGAAAAAAACAGGACAATATTAAAATATATTCTCTTGTTCCAAATATGAGTACTTTGAGATCATTAGCCTATTTATCAGCCAACTGTACACTGAAGTAGTATCACAACTAACATAGCATGCTTCTATTTGTATTGATGATACTTTATGTGCTAGTCTACCAATCTACTCCCATAATTCAAAGGGGTAACAGACTTCTCAGAGTACCAGAAGAGTTTGCTAAAGTACCACCAGTGGTACATATGCCATAGTTTGGGAACCTATCACTGTGTATAAATGCCATGAGTCGTGATGCATCGTGATGTCATGTCTAATTTACTCCCAAGGTTGTTTTGCTGGACCTGTGGCAGCATTAATAATATATATTTTAAAAAGTGTCATGAAAACCAGTTAAATTCTTATCATTTCTTTTCTATTCTTCTTTATTTCCCTTCAGATGACGGACCGTATGGAAAAACAAAGGATATCTCCGGACCAGAAATCATGGCCTCCAGAAGACACAGTATTCCAGGTTTGTGTTTTTACCGTCAATAACCATTGTTTATGAAAACACATACAGATTCACATACAATGCATGAATCAATGTAGACATTTATATTAGAAATATATGTAGTGAAAGATAGAAGATAATAGATAAAGTTAAAGGTGTAGTAGGGCTGCACAATTAATCACATTCTAATCCCGGTTTTGGCTGCCACGATTAAGCGAGTGTCACCGGGCAGATTCAAATAGTTCAGTGACTGATGTGGGAGAAAGACGTAATGTCAGGAGCAGGAGGTGACATCACCCCAGCGTATGGAGGTGAGGAGGAGCTGGAGCCTTGTTAGGGATCAACATCCATGGTCTGGAGGTGTTTTGGACAAGTGATGCTGAGCAAAAAAAACTCATTTCACTGCTTACATTATTAAACAAATGAATACATTTTCCACAGTTTTGGTGTTCAGTGAATACTTCTGATTACTGTAGTACTTACTGTATCTAAATGTTACAAATCGTGAACATGGTCATTCCTGCACCATTTTGTTTTCCGTTCAATACTCTCTTTCTTCCTCTGCAACGGAATACAAAATCTCCTGGGCTTTTATGCAAATAGGAACAGAACAAGGACTAATTAATGAGCTAGTGTGTCCCTGCAGATAAAGTGCTGCGGTGTGTGTGTGTGTGTTTACGTCTCGTAGCACCGAGAACATTTTGCAGTGAAGCATTCAGGATTTACCTCATCTATTCATCTATATCTGCAAAGCCTGTGCCCTGCTCCTCATCACCTCCTCTGCTCAGGGAGGTAATGAGGTGCTGGTGGCAGGAAGTGGAAAAGTCTGCTTGAAAAAAGTGAAATAAAATTTTAAAAAGTTTATAAATTATGGTCACATAGTGTTTATCTGATGGTGCCAATCCAGGTTTGATTCATCATCTAATCTTGACTCCTGGGTAAACTCTGGTTTTCTTCCGTCAATTTTGTTTATATGTTAGCTTTACAGGCCACCCGGTGGAAAACGTGGTTAGTGCAGAAACAGAATATATTTGAGCAGAGAAGATGTTTCCCCTGTGACTCAGTGACAGGGAGCAGTAAATATGTGTGACTTTCTCTGGGCTTCACTTTAATCTTGAGATCAGAGTGTCTCCAGTATGGTCCTGGGTGTATGCATGTCTGTCTGTGTGTGTGTGTGTGTGTGTACAGTATTTGTCTTTAGGTATATCTGTGTTTTTGGTTAGAAGCTCTGCGGGGGGTGACCATGGTGGAGCTGGTGAAGAAGGAAGGCAGCACACTCGGCCTCACCATCTCAGGAGGAACTGACAAGGATGGGAAACCTCGGGTATCGAACCTCCGTCCAGGAGGACTGGCGGCCAGGTTGGTGTTGCGAGGACATCTCTGTAAAAAAATGAAAAACTGCTCCATTTGAAACACAGTGACCGACAACAACATGTTTACTGTGCAGAAGTGACCAGCTCAACGTGGGCGACTACATCAAGTCGGTGAACGGCATCAATCTGACCAAACTGCGTCACGAAGAAATCATTAGTTTACTGAAAAATGTAGGAGAGAGAGTTCTGCTGGAGGTGGAGTACGAACTTCCACCTACAGGTGTGTATTACTTCAAGTCAAGTAGTTTTGATCATTAATGAGTCATCAAGGGTTTTCAGCAGATGGAGCAGAAACTCCAGGTTATATATTTATTTATTCTAAACCTAGACCATGTGAACCGTGTTTACTTTGTTATTTAGAGTTAATTACTAAACCATCAAACGTACTGGTTTGTGACCCTACAGACCAGGGGTCACTAACTTGATTTGTCCAAGGGCCAGAATTTTTCTGAACAGACACTCAAATAAAATGAACTAAAAAAAATGTTTCTAATATTTTTATTTGATATTTTTAATCACAGCTGCAGAGTCTGATGATTGGCTTTTTTATTTCTGTTATCATCACCTTTGACCTACTTTACATTTGCCCTGTAGACCATTTCATAAATGTGTCCCCTAGGCCTATTCAAATAATGGCCCTTGGGCCACATGTGGCCCCAACACAACTTCAGAGATGTCCAATCTGTGGTCATTTCAGGAACTGAGAGACTCACAATTGGTGTAAAATTCAAAGTATCTACAGACCCTGAAGGCATCACCCTGTGTGGCTTAGAAACCAAAAAGTCATCGGCCTGTCTTTTTGAAAATCACTGTCAATTTGTAAGTGAAAATAGCTCAGCCATTCATGGACAAAACTATTTTTTTTATAAAAATGTAACAGTTTGAATTATTTAAACTTATTTAAACTTGTTTGATTTAAGTGTGTTAGAGTTTTTTAATTCTTTATTTGATTCAAACATAGCTACATTGTAGCTCGATTAGCCATTAGCTATCACAAAAGTCCAAGAACCCAACTGACATTTGTGGTTTAGGTTTTCACCCAGTGTAATTGTCGTTATATTTACAAAGTCTAACAAAACCAACAACAGCCTGTTTCACTTTTCTTCCTCCCAAAAGCCCGCGACAACACCTCAGGGGTTTTATCAAAGACAATCGACATCTGTTTGCACAAAGAAGGAAACAGCTTTGGTTTCGTCATGAGAGGTAATCATCTGTAAAATGAAGCAGTTACTGTATGTGTGTGAGGTATATTTAAAGTAACAAAGACGCAGAAACGTTTGTTTGATTATTAAAACAGATTCATAAGGTGATTACAAAAGTGTTTAACAGGGAGATGATGGTTATTTCTTTATTTGACTTCATTAACTCCAAACATAATGCAGATCATAATGTTGTTATCGACCTCCTGTTTGGTTAATTAAAACAAAAACTATTTTGGGATTTAGTATTTTTCCAAATTGTCAAACTATTTATTCCATATCTTTTTATTATAATAATAACTAATAAAGCCCTTTGAGAATGTATTTTAAATCTAAATCTAGGCTTGTTTTTACTACAGGAGGGGCACAGGAGGATTGGCATAAGGCACGCCCCCTTGTGGTCACGTACGTGAGACCTGGAGGCTCTGCAGACAGGTAACTGGACCTTAACTTTTATAAATCAAGTGAGAGAATGTAATAATGTTTGAACTCTACTGAAATGTCCAACATTTCCTGTCAAAGCAAACCCTTCCACTGAAGTCAAACCGAAACATATTCCCTTCCAAAGATTTGTCTGCATTATCAGGAAAACGCTTCAGTTTAAACTGTAACCATTCACTGGCAGCTGCAGGAAACAGTTACTGTCGTCGTCATGTGTCTGTCACAACAGAGACTGGAGTAGGAATAATTGTTTACAAATAACTGGCAACAAGAACAAGTGAAATAAATGCTCCACTGATTAAAAACTCTAGTTGAATCTTTCAAATTGAATAAAAATTCTATGTTAAATCATCTCATGACTCAGTGGTTGAACTGAAGACAAAAGGCAAAAGAACCACAGTTCCACTGCTCCCCAGGTTGACTGTGTCTGCTGTGACCCCCCAACCCCCCATTTACGGGGATCCAAAATATTCACACAATGAAATATCAGCAGCAGTGATTTGTAATTTATCCCCTTTGTTTGATGAGAATAGTGGCTTTATAGGACGTCACCTTTTCTCTGATCATTCGCAGCCTCAGTCGTATGTTGGCCGCCGTCAGAAGAAACCAAAGTTATTTTTACTTTTTTAGAAAATCTCTGCATGACAAACATCACTGATGTATTTTTAGACTTTTTCAAAGCCCTGGTTCATCTGTCCAAAGTCAGTGTTTATGTTCTTAAAATATTTTTTTAAAAACAACTTTGACCTACTTTGTCAGTCAAACATGGATCTTATTGGACAGAAACATCTATTGTAGGAGTGTATATATATATATGTATGTATATATATCAGTTTTATAAAAATTACTATTCATGAAAAAGAAGAACAGATGAGTATTTGTCAGGAACCGTTCATTAACCGTAGGGTGAAATCTTTCAGCAGTTATCCAGAGAGAGAGCCTCTGTTAGATCATCTGTTAGACGTCTCCATGTTCACGAGCAGTGGTCACGTGCTAGAATGTTCCAAGACCCTCAGGTGAAGAACTTCCCTGAGTCCGCTGTAAAACGAGATTCTCTTTTTAATGGAGCCCGAGGATTTGACATCCAGGATGCAGATCCATCATCAGGCACCGTCTCATCAAAATGCATTGCATGCATATTTCATGTTGGCCTTGGAGTCACTTTCACACCACTCACCTGCTTGACTGTTGTAATCCTGAGGCTTTTCCATTTTAGTGTCAGTTAAAACTTTTAATCAGACATTTTTTTGTTGTTTTTTTTTTTTCTTTCGTTCTTTCTTGCCCTGTGAAATTTTAAATACTCTGCCAGTCTGGGATGGCGTTGTTAAAAAACCTCCAGGGCGATTAGCAGCTTACTTTACAACTCCTGGCTGCTCCAATGACGGCTCCCTGTTACTCACACTCTGGCATCATGCATAAAGCATCTATCAGCTGTCGAAAACGGACACGGGCGTTAAAGTTTGATCACACTAAATCTCCACTTTTGCAGGATGCCAGGAATGATTGCTTGATATCTGTGTACTGTATTTTTAGGGCTCTTCTCTGTAGGATGTCATAAAGAAAGGACATTTTGACAACCTTGGCTTCATCTCACATTACAAAACAAACCAGCGTGGAGTCAATCAAATTTAAGGTTGTGTCATTTTTAGCAGCAGCGTCAGCTGTGAGTTTGAAAGATTTTCCGTCTTGTTGGTCCAGGTTTGTGTTGATATTCAGCTTTGTTAGATTCATGTTCTCCGCTCTTCAAGGTACTGAATAAATTTACTCTGTATTTTGAGCTGCGTTTTCTTCTAATACCTCATTCTAGACACGTACTGCGGTGAGAACAACTTACTCTGTTGTTTTCTCGTTGATCTGTGTAAACACAGAAATGACTTTTGTTCGAGGCAGTGTTTATACTGTATACCTGTATATTATATACCTGAAACAGCGGTAGATGTAGAAGCAGCACATTCTAAGGAGAAATGGTTTTTGACACTTGAAAATAAAGTGTGTGTGTGTGTGTTTCCAGAGAGGGGACTCTTCGTCCAGGTGATCGTCTCCTCAGTGTGGACAGTGTCCCTCTGCACAATATGAACCACAGCGATGCCCTGAGTGTGTTGGCTCAGTGTGGACAGGAAGCTCTGTTTCAGATCGAGTATGATGTCACTGTCGTGGGTGAGGGACCGCTCACACACACACACACACACACACACAGTCTATGGATCAGCCGCAGAGAAAAATGATTTGGAAAGACGTTAACTGTTTGTCCCTGTGTCTCTCTGTGGGTTGATGTTCAGATTCAGTACCAAATGGTTCCAGTCCACTGTTGGTGGAAGTTTCTAAGTCTCTTGGAGCGACGCTGGGCATCATGCTGACGTCGACCACTCATCAAAACAAGCAGGTCATTGTCATCGACAGGGTTAAACCTGGTAGTGTGGCTGACAGGTACTAACACGCACACACACGCACATACATAATTAATGCAATGTAATTAATTAGTGATTTAATTGAACAACTGTGCAACACTAGTGGTGAAGGGCACATTGAGAAAAGTACTTTGTTTGTAGAGAATGTAATTTATATGTGTGTACACAATCAGAGTCTGTGTTTCCTTCGTTTGTTTGTTCGTCAGTTCGCTGGTTGATGTGAACTGGCCTTTAATGATCTTGTTTACTGTAGTCTAGTCATGATGTCCAAGAATCACTGCCGTAAAACATCATTTAATATTTTATGACCTTATAAATCAATTCATTATACAGAACACAGTTGTACACTCAGAGAAACTCTCCTGAATTTAAATGGACTCAGCACAGCACTGAACTGTTCTACGATCAGTTTGCTGCGATACTGAGACCAAATGAGAGCTGACCCTGGGTCAGAGGTCAACCCACAAACTCACAAGTCTATCTAATCTATCTATCTATCTATCTATCTATCTATCTATCTATCTATCTATCTATCTATCTAATATTATTGTTACGACGTAAGTTTATAAATGCACAGACAGACAAACTGTTGTTACATTAATTACTTTACCATAGATGTTATATCTAATGTTGTCACCTCTAACCCTGAGTTTGGTTTCATTTTGGTCCTAAAAATGTTGGTCTCTATTGTTCCCCTCCAGATGTGGAGCATTGCATGCTGGGGATCACCTGCTGTCCATAGATGGCACATCCACAGAACATTGTACTGTTCTGGAGGCAACACAGCTGTTAGCAAGCACCACAGAAGTGGTCAAGATGGAAGTACTTCCCTCGCAGCAGAGGAGACTGAGTGGGAAACAGCAGGAAACAGGTGGGAACACTTTTAGGTCAAAAGAGAAAAGAAGCTGAAGACTGTAAACCCTGAAGTTTCATACACACTAGTACACACTGGTACACACTGGTACACACTGGTACACACTGGTACATTGTTTTATGTTTGTTTGATTGTATGCTGGACAAAAGAAACACAATCAAAGCCTTGGGAATGTTAGCTATGATTTAGCAGCATACTAGCTAGCACATACAGAATAAGGAGCATGTTAGTAGTGCACTATTAGGTATTAGCAACTAGCTATTAGCAGTGCGTTACCAGGTAGTACTGTATGTTAGCAGTGTGTGACCACTAAACAAGAACACAGTGTTTTGTTTGAGAGGCATTCTTCACCAAACGCTAACCCTAAGTGAGGCTAACACCCTTAGCCTCACTTCTTCTTCTTGACTTTATCATCAGATCTTAATATTGTCAGTGTCACTGCTGCCACCAATATCATATCATATATATATATATATATATATATATATATATATATGCGTGTGTGTATATGTTTATACGTATACATATATTATAAAAGATATATGAGATAAGAAGGATTGTACTAGACGTATGCACGTGTCAGTGTCTAATAATGTAAACCAGATAATTAAGTTGACTAATGGTCTTCAAACTGACCTTGTGGCCAACATCCCACCACTGTATTAATAGACAGTATGATCGGAGGCCTAATGGTTCATGAGGTGTGATAAACCACTAATGGTGTTTTCTCTAATGCTGTTATATCACAGCGTTAGGAATCATTAGTGACAGTGTCTACGCCTCCTTTTTGTTTCCTTGTCATCTTTCTGCTGCGTTTTACGCTGCAGATACTTGATGTCACTCCAGAGGAGGCGAAGCAGAAACACTGTTTTCACATCCCTTAGATCTGGCTGTAAAGTTGCCCAACATCAGCTCCGCTCAGCTCCCAAATCAGATCAGATGAGAGGACCCTTGTAGAAGAAAACGCTTGTCTGAGAGAATGTGGCAACTCCCAGCTGGGTGTGTGTGTTTGTGTGTGTGTGTGTTGAGGGATTATGTAGTGGATGGAGCCGAGTGGCCTCAAAAGTACCTGCTGAAAAATGCCTCCAGATAAAAGTCATCTTCAACATCTTTCCCAGCAAATTTTCTACCCACAAAATATGAGAGGAACTTTGTGTGTGTGTTTCTGGTATACCTATTCTTGTGGGGACACATTTTTGCAGGTCTCCCATTGAGTGACAGGATAATTTTAGTTTCAAGATTTTGTTTAAACCTAGATTTAGAATTAGGGTCAGATTAGTGTTAAGGTATTTATAAACGTAAATGAGCAAAAGTTGACATACATTAGCTCTGTGGCCCTGAAACGGGGCTGCTTTCCTCACTTTTGGAACCAGTTTGTGTGCATCATGTCTACGTGAGGTCCTCACAAAACAAAACTGTGTGTGTGTGCATGTGTCTGTGACAGTTTGCTGCTGGTGAAATTGATTTGTGATGTTCCTTCCTTATGAACGACACATAAATAGGTTTTTAAGTGTTTGAAAGAATGTCATTGTGCGTGAAAAGTGATGTGTGGACCAATTTCACTGGTTGGATTTTGTTCAATAAAAAGTGTTGATGACAGTGACTTCAAACAGCCAGACTCAGGCGCAGTAGGTTGGAGTAGTACTATAGTACTGACGTGATGGTCAGTTCAGAAAATTGACATTTTAAGTGTGGTGGATTTGAAGGGGTGAGTGAGAGAGAAGAAGAAGAAAAAAGTACCAACATCTCCTCCACCTCCAGCTCACGGCCTTCTCTAGGTAAAGGTGCAGATGGAATAAGTTAACTCTCTGTGTGTATCTGTGTTTGTGTGTGTGTGCATGCACATGTGCACATGTGTGTGTTCTAGTGAAGGTCCAAAAGTCAGACCACGCCCACACCTGGGACCCCTGCGTCAACTTCTGTCACGCCTCCAACTCTGCACTGTGCAACACGAGCTCCACCCTCAACAAGTCATGGACCACCTCCAACAACAACACCATCAACAGCACTGACTACTGCAAGTGTAAGACCACGCCCCTCACTTTCCGCCGTTATGTTTCCTGTTGAAGTTGTGTTGTCACGTCTGTACTTCTCCCCTGTTCTTCTGCCTTGTTAAAAAATAAAACCCTCAGCTAAAGCTTTAGACTTCATACAAATCTCTCTCCTCTTTGCAGCTTTGGTGTCTGCCAGTTTCTCTCCCGGTTCCACAACTACATCAGGTCCCAGTAGCCAAAGCTCCAGCACTCTGCCTCGTCTTACAGTTCCCATGAGTCCACGGAACTCACTGCTCAAGCGACGGCAGAGAAAGAAAGAGCACAAAAGCTCCCGTAGGCTGTAGAGACATATGTCGCCAGTCTGTTCTGTCATTTTTAAGCACATTCCAATTTTAAATACAACTCTGTGTTTGCCTGTAGTATCACTAGCGTCCAGTTCAGTGGGTCCAGGTGGTCAGGTCGTTCACGTTGAGACCGGTGAGGTGGTCCTCACTGGTGACCCCCTCAATGGCTTTGGTGTCCAGCTGCAGGGAGGAATATTTGCCACTGAGACCCTGTCTGCTCCTCCGCTCATCAGATTCATAGAACCTGACAGTTCTGCAGAGAGGTGAGAGGATCATGGGAATTTTGGACCATTTGTTCACAGTAGGAATGGCAAAAATTAAGAACACCTAAATGTTTCTTTGACAGTAGGAATGGCAGAAATTAAGAACACCTAAATGTTTCTTTGAGTAGTGAGGCCTAACGAAGTCTCTGAAATGCTGTCCCTGTGTGACTGGATTGTTGACGAGCCATGTTATAAGGGTAGCTGTGATCTTTTGAATTTGCAGGCGTTTGTCCCCTGAATGCCAACAGGTGGCGCTAATATTTGTTTAAAAAATAGAACAAATAGATTTGTTTTTATTCACATTTGCTAAAACAGTGGTTCCCAAAGTGGGGGGTGAGTCCATCCAGAGAGGTGCACAACACCCTCAGCCAGTCAGTGTAGATATTCAGACCTCGTGTGTGTTTGTTGCAGTGATGGGTTTGAATAATATATGTTAATACTGTGCTGTTGAAGTAACAATAGTGACTAGTGAGTTTCATTACGTCCAGAAACAACAGGTCAAAGTTCAGGCAGGATTTTCCTATAGGCCATGCGGTGCAAAACTGGTTGGTACTGTTGTCTTACAGCAAGAAGTACATCGGTTTAATGTTCTCCCTGTGTGGGTGGGTGGGTGTTACTGTGGCTTCCAATGAGATGGAAGAATGGGGGACAAAGTTAATTGTTCACTCCAAACAGAATTTTGGTGTGAATGGCTGTCTTTTACAACCTGCCAAATATTCATGGTGTAACAGACCCCCATCCTGGCCTGATGAGTGCTGCGTTGGCTCCAGTTCTCTGTGACTCTGAAATGTTGAAATATTAAGTTGTGAACAAAAAGCTGCACACTTGACTAACTTTTAGTTTTGGATAAGAATAAAAGACCAAACTGTAAAACTGAAGACGCCAGTAGTTCACAGACTGTGTCATAAAGCTGGGGTTGAAACACATTTTCAGATTTCTCTGATGACAGCAGCAAGTAAGAGTCATCATCAAGTTAGAGAAAAAGTCTTAACTGCTCTCAGAAGATGAATAATTCACAGAACAAGTGATGCCTTGTGCATCACTTTGAATGCAGACTTTACACGATGACATTTCAACTTAAGTAGCAGCTGTAGGTGATGCCTCACAAAGTTAATGATGTCTCTCGCAGCATGCAGCAGATTTCTGAGGGGATTCAGAGCTGGAGCTGCTGAAGTTGCTTATTTGCTGGTTTATAGTGAGGGCTGCAGGAGCAGAGACAGGTCAGAGGTTAGACACATTTACATTTAGTGGATGCTTTCATGATGTCCATATACACTGTCCGGGTGACCCTCACCAACCATTGTTGTACTCTAGACCAGCAGCAGGTGGTGTGTGTGAGCTCTGAGTGCTTTTATTTTATTTTCCTTAATTATTATCCATATGTTTGTGTTTTATTTTGATATCAAGCTCCTACCTATCACCAATAGACTGTTATCATTACACTTAGGATATTTTGCTGCTATTTAGCTTAGTAGTACCAATACTACTGTGCGTACCTAAACTGCTCATATTCATTTGCCTCCTGGGGAACGCTAACATTAATCCATCTATCTAGTTTGAGCTAATTATTATATGTTATTCTAATTAATATCTCCAGGGTAAATTTTCACAAATTCCTTTTTTGGTTTTTGTGAAAAGCCCATAAAGATGACATATTTGACTTCTGAGTCCATTGTTGCAGTAAAAGAACCATCACAGACTTCACGCTGGCTTCACAGGGCTGTGTCTCAAAAACTCGAAAAAATACAGGCTTCATGAAATCCCTCTTAAAGAAGAACTACTTACATGATTCATGACTTCAATAGTCTGCTTCAACACGCTTGACTCTCCTCCCTCCGGCTCTGATTTGTGTAGCGTGGAGCTGGGTTTAGGAGGGCTTTTACAATGTGTGGATGTTTTCAAAACAGAAATCTTTAGAATCCAAACAGCAGCGCCAGAAGCTGCAGCCGCTAAAAATAAGAAGTGATATGTGACACCCAAGAGGAGGGGTCTACAGCTCCCACTGGCATGGTTGTGTCTCTTTAACGGAAAACAAAAGACATCCAGGCGGAGGTGATGCTCACTCCACCCACACAAGTTTTCTCCACCTTTATTTTTAAACTTAGTGATGGTTTAATATCTAAACCTAACAGAGAACTGAAGCTAACATTTATGTTAGCTTCTTTTAGTGTGCAGTTAAAGCACCCATAGTACATAAGGAATATATTATAATCGCAGCAGTAAGATTTGGACAACACAAACAGAAAAAAAGAAAAATTATCTTTGAAATGTCAGGTTTATTTCATCAGAAATTCAAAACGAAGCAGATTTTATTCTGGTCTGTTTGAACTGTATGAGTTTATGAAGCCATTGGCATTTGTTAAAATACTTTTAGCGTCAAACTTATTCTCATTAATCTAAAAAATAATAACATTTTAAGAAGCACATGGACAGTTCCTGGAGGATTTTATTTTTGTTTCCAGAGATTGTGAAAAGAATCTTCACGACACGGACCGAACAACAACACTTGTATATGAAGGAAGTGGTTTGGTTTGATGTAGTCCCCAAATTAAATAAGAAACATTAACGTCCCATCAGGACAATAAAACTGAACTAATGACTCTGTATGTAATTCTTTTTCTCCTGTCCTTTTTTTTGCTGCAACAAGTTAATGTCTCCAGTGTGGGAGCAATAAAATCTGACTGTTATATAATATAATATAATATAATATAATATAATATAATATAATATAATATAATATAATATAATATAATATAATATAATATAATATAATATAATACTAACTGTTCTAATCTAATCAAGTCTGTTCTACTTTAATCTAATCAGTTTTAATCTCATCCAATCGGTTCTAGTCAAATCTAAACTGTTATAATCTAATGTCATCTAGTGAATTATAATGGTCTCCCTCACCAACACTGTCTTGTGTAGATGTGGCCTGCTGCAGGTTGGTGACCGCCTCCTGTCAATCAATGGTATCGCCACTGAGGACGGGACACTGGAAGAAGCCAATCAGCTCCTCCGAGATGCAGCTCTGACCAATAGGGTGACGCTGGAAATAGAATTTGACGTAGCAGGTCAGTGAAATTAACAAGAGTTTTCTATCTACAAGTATGAATATATGTCCTTTAGTGTAATTGTATTTCATTGATAGGAGCTAATCAGACTTAGCATTACAATATTTGCTAATCGTACAGTCAGTGAGTGTCTGCGGATCAATGAATTTGGGCAACCAGAGGATTTTGGGATCATTTTTTTTACTCTGACCTGTCTGACCTCCTCTACTCCAAACCTCTAACCTCAGATATTGATCTGCAGACTTCTGTTGACAGACACTGGATGTTGTTTTGTTCTTTGAAAAAAAAAAACAATTTCTGTACATCATCCAAAAACACTGGAATTTTTTTGAAAAGGTGTGTGTGTGTTTTACAGAGTCAGTGGTGCCAAGCAGTGGAACGTTTCATGTCAAACTGCCCAAGAAGAGAGGAGTGGAGCTGGGGCTCACTATCAGTGGTAGCAAACACATGAACACACACGTGAAACATGGACGGTCACCTAGAACGCCATCTAATTAGATTTGGCAACGTGTTAACCAGTTAGAAAGAAAGCAATTCGATTTGGGGTAATAGTAATCAAAGGTTCAGAATCTTTCATCCTAAAACTACCTGCTCAGATTTCTGAATGATTAAAAAAGCGCTCCATTTAAACGAATCAAAACGGTGGAGTGCAGGTCAAATATTAAGCCATTTTTACAATATTCCTTTGAGGTATGACACCCCACCTCCCAGCAGGTGGCACTGTAAGTGAGCACTTATGTGTCCTATGTCACTAGTTGCAGTGTTAGTGACACCTCAGGTACTTTTTACCAAAATCTACTCTCCAAAACACAGTGTAATTATTTGGATTTAGTAAATTACAGCCCTGTAGACTTTTTATTTTATTTTTGGGTGTGGTTGTTTTGTTGGGGTTTTTTTTCTTTCTTTGTTTGTTGTTGTTTTTTGTTTTTTTGGTAATTTGGCATTTTATCTTGTATTCTCTTCAATTCCCACTCTTTGTTGTAATAGCTAGATTTCGACTCTAGGGGCAGTCTAGACCAAGGGTGCATAAGCCACCTCTGTAAATGAAGTCTACAGTTTCCTCTTCACTCCTTTCACTTTCATTGAACTGTGAGATTATTATAAGATCTCAAACAAGTACCGACTACTGCAGCTGTGAAGGGTTCATTGCCATCAGTGTGTAGTACTTTATAGTACTGTCGTTATCCTGCCAGTGCGAAGATTTATAGTAATTGTTGATTAAATCCTTCATACATGGGTGATTGTAAAATTCTAGTGCTGCCGTCAACACTGTAATTTACTATCGCTCTGACCTACTTTCACACTTTGATCGTGATTAGTTGGAAACAAGTCTATTAGCAGCGTGTCGAGATTAAGAGTTTTTGTTTATTATTTTCCCTAAAAATAAATCAGTGATAGGTTGACTGTAAATCTGGTTCTGGCTCCATTCGTTTGGAATGAGGAAAATAATCAGTGAAAACAGCAAAACACACACGCACACACACACACAGGCACATGCAGGAGTTTTTTAAAAACGGAAGTCTGTAAATCTATTATTTTAAATGAATAGTTTGGCGGAGAGAACTGGGGAACAGTTGGCAGCAGCAATTTTCTTTGAAATCTGAAAATTAGCACACATGGTCGACGGTGCAATGGCGCCATCTACTGAATAAAGTGATTTCATATCCTGCGTATGGCGTTTGCTAACACACTCCAAAAAAGATGTAGAATAAGGTCAACTATTCACTTCATATTGATCATGGGTTCATGACGTTCAATGAAACTAATATTTAACGTATGAAGCTGATTGTTTAAACTATTTCTAGTGACTATTAATGATTGTTTCTCATTTGTTGAGTACATTTAAATGAAATATTACTATATTTATATACTAATTTTATGCTAAAAGTACAATAAGTGTAATTATAAAATGATAGTATAAAATTCAATAAGTAAGCAGTAAGCAGTAAGATTTGGACAACACAAACAGTTATTATCAACAGCGATGGATGAACCAACTGCAGACAATGACAAATGATTTACTCGTGTTGCTAACTGTGATGTCATCTTCCTCCACAGCCAGTAAGAAGCCAGACGAGCCCCTCATCATCTCTGACATAAAGAAGGGCAGCATGGCTCACAGGTAGCCTTTATGGTTATCATTCTATTTCTATTCCATACTATTGCTCCCTGACGGTGGTCTGCAACCCCAGAGAGGTGCTGTGGAGGTTTCGGTTAATGAGACAATTTTTAAGAAGTTTTTTTCCACTCCCATCATCGTCATCATCATGCTTCATCATCTCCACACCTGTACAGAACTGGGACGCTGGAGCCTGGTGATAAGCTGTTGGCCATCGACAACATCAGACTGGGGAACTGCACCAGAGAAGATGCAGAGCAGATCCTGCAGCAGTGTGAAGATCTGGTTAAACTGAAGATCCGGAAAGATGAGGACAACTCAGGTATGTGTGTGCGACGGTCGGGTGGGCTTAGATTCGACTGGAAAACACAACAGTCTTTTCTGTCCATTCCCACTGTGTATTTTCATGAGAACTCCTAGAAACATGTACTTAAATCTGCCCATTGTGACACCAACTACACTCATGTCCCAGCTGAAGTTCAGACATGGGTGAGAGCTCATCGGGGTCGCTGTGGAAAATAATAAAATACTCTTCCATTAGGCAGTAGCAGATAGCCATAGAAACTGAAAAAGCGGCTTCAACAGATCTTCCTGTGTGTCTTTCTTCAATTCCTGCGAATTTATCAGTGTGGAGTACAACTAAACAGGCCCGGGTCAGAAACATTGTGGGAGAATTTAAACCAGAAGATTTGTTCAGTGTTGTGCTGTGGGATGGGAAACACTGGAGTGTAATGTACAGATTATATAATATGATCCCAGATGTCAAGTAGTGAAGCAACAGTGCTTAAAGGAATTCATTTATCATTTGTAGCTTCTAATGAGAGCTGATGCCTTACCATGACATGAACGTGTGTGTGCGTGTGTGTGTGTATCCAGATGAGCAGGAAACGTCAGGCAGCATCATCTATACTGTGGAGCTGAAAAGGTATGGAGGTCCTCTGGGTATTACTATCTCAGGCACCGAGGAACCTTTTGACCCCATCACCATATCTGGACTGACCAAGAGAGGTCTGGCAGAGAGGTAAACACACTCTCTCACTCTCTCTCACAGGACAGTAGATCGCCATGATGAAGAATTTTTAATGTTGCTGTACGCTTGCTTAAATCCCTGTGTGTGTGTGTGTGTGTCTGAATGTGTGTATCTCCAGGACAGGGGCGATCCACGTCGGAGATCGGATCCTGGCCATCAACAGTGTCAGTCTTAAGGGAAAACCTCTGAGTGAAGCCATCCACCTGCTGCAAATGGCTGGAGAGACGGTCACACTCAAAATTAAAAAACAACTTGACAGTAAGAATTTGGTTTTTTGACTGTTGTTTTCTTTGTCAACAGTAATACTAAACTGGTGGAAGTGGAAGTGTGAAGCTAGCTCACATGCTAATGTTGTTTTCCCTTTTGCTACAGAAATTACTAAAAGTCAGAAAGTTAGTTTTGATTGGACTGAATCCTCAACACTTTGACTGCAGTGATGTGAAACAAAGCCAATTTCTGCTCCTTTAACTTTTCCAGATGTGGAAGGGAGGAAAGCTGCGGAGCCAGACGACACAACAGAGAACGAGCTGAGTGACCCTGACGAGGATGATTTGACAGACAGCCAACAGAACAATAAGCTTTCAGACATTTTCTCCACCGCTGTGCCCAGTGTGGACTCTGCTATGGAGTCATGGGACGGCTCAGGCCTGGACGCTGGTTATGGCAGCCAAGGTACAGTCTGAGTTTTTATACTGAAACTAAAGAACCGACTGGTCTCTATGGAAGCAAACATAAACAGTCTTCTTTTCTCTAAAACCATCAGACAGATGGTTACTGGCCACTTCACCAGTCCTGATTCACTACTACTTCAATACTAAAATTTACTGAATCGGTTCTGCGCTCTTTTTAGGCACTTACAACAACCAAGCAGTAGGTGTCGCCCTCCATCCTCACGAGTGGTGTAGTAACAAACAGCAGCGCAGCAGCACACCACCTGTTGGACAGAGGAAGAACTACCCCTTCAGTGATGGGGGCTTCAGTGAAGATGACTGGGACAAAGCACCAAGGTTGGACCTCAAACTTGATTTTATTTGTACAGCCAAGCTCTCTCATTTGAAAATCCAGATTTGGAAATTGAAAAAAAAAAGGATATTAAAGCCCTGACATGCAGATGAACCAAGACTGGACTTGTAGTTCTATGTTTTGTTTATACAGTTTTTTTTATTTTCTATATCTGTGTTTGTTTGTCTGTGAGACAGCTTTGTTGGTCAACAGTCAGATGCGATCCTTCTGGATCCAGATGACAGTTTCTGGTGTCAGGCTTTGGAGGATCTGGAGACCTGCGGCCAATCAGAACTCCTCAGAGAGATAGAGGTCAGCTTACATTCAGCCTCACTCTACTGTATCCATCATAATACATTCATTTGTTATAATTTTTTATATGTGTGCAGGCGTCCATCATGACAGGAACAGCCGTCAGTCTGGGTGTAAACAGCATGAACAAGCCCCCACCTGAGCCCATACTGAGTCACAACAGGATGAGTCCTTTACGAAGGAGTTTCCTGCACCACCAGGGCACTCACCTCCACCAGGGCATCCACCTGCACGAAGAGGCCAATCTCCACCATGGTCGGCAGAGTAAAAGTCACTGACAAAATGTCTTCTTTCATATTTCTGTACATATATGTAACACTTAATTTATGTTTGTTTTTTTTGTTTTTTTGCTAAAACACTCTCTTAAAAATCAGACCCCGAGCTCAGTTTCAACCAGGAGGCCTGTTTCCATCAGGAAAATCACGCTTCCCTCCTGCTTCACGAGTCCAAGCCCAAAGCCTCACTCAGAGCCTCAGAGAGAACGTGGGAGTCTCGTCGAATCAAAGAGGAAATGCAGGGTATTTTGTCTCCAACGCCGCTGGAGCTGCACAAAGTGAGTTCTACCTGCTGACCTCCTTCTGTGAGAGACCACAGGCTGTTTTGTCTGAGAAGTCAAAGTTGTTTGGTCTGCAGGTGTACGACAGCCCTGCAGGCAACTGGAGCGTTTGTCACATTCAGATTTCTGACAGATCGCTCTGCAGCAGCCGACCTGACATCAGGCAGACTCAATCAAACATGTTTTTTTTTTGAGTCAGTCATATCTGAAGTGGTCTGGAAAAAAACCTGTTATTTTCCAGCCCGGGATCAATAAAGTGTATCTATCCAACTGGTCACTGACCAAACTGCAAACTTCAGCCAATGAAAAAGAGAGGGTGGGAGACAGGAAACACCCCAATCGGCAATGGGCAGTAGCAAAATATGGAAATAATGTGAGAAATTCAGGAGACATTTCTGGAGCCGTGGGAAGAGTACCAGTGTCTTCAGACAAACTGCAGAGTTTGATGTGTTCACTTGTCTTTGGTTGTTGTGTTTCAGGTGACGGTGATAAAAGACCCAGAGAGCGACGACTTTGGCTTCAGTGTGTCTGACGGTTTCCTGGAGAAAGGAGTTTATGTGAACATGATCCGACCTGATGGACCGGCCGACCGAGCTGGGCTCAGACCCTACGACAGGATACTGCAGGTGATGATGGAACACTGTGAAACTACAAACATCATGAGGAGGACGAACAACAAATCTGTAGAGAATAGTCAAATATTAACAGCAAACGATTCTAAAAAATAAATAAAACTAAAAGAAACTGTTGTCTGGGTATCATCTGGGTAACATCTGCTGGAGGAGGTGATGTTGTGTATCTGATAGAGGGCGCCAAACCATAAATAAGTGTGTCTTATACATGTTCCTGCCCACAGTCCTGTCCTTTTATCGATTCTGTGTGCACACAGGTGAACCACGTCAGAACCAGAGACTTTGACTGCTGTCTGGCTGTGCCTCTCATCACTGAGGCCGGGGACCGACTGGAGCTGGTCATCAGCCGTAACCCAGTGTCCGGTGACGACCTGGAGGACAACAACAACACTCTGGACCACACCCTGGACCTGTAACTCTGTTTGCAGACACTCACAGAGGTTAGAGAGATTCAACAATAACAAATCTACTGTCCCTGGTCCAAAGTCACAATAATTCGTAATAAATGTATCGTGTGAAGCTGACATTTATAACCACAGGTGTCGACTAACAACGATCCCAAAGTTAACATTGTCCGTCAAAACAGGATAATCATGTTTAGAGGAAAGTCGTGGTTGATATTTTTATTTGATTTACTGAAGTCAACAAAGCATTTCACAAACCCTCCGTGGTGCCTGCGTGGACCGCCGAGGTGTTGCACACCCCTCGTTGAAGACAACAACACTATACTGTTCATACACGTAACCCGGAGAAATCAATGTAAAATACATAAAATCTACAGTCAAACACAAGTGCTGCTGCAGCTTTGATGCTGGTGTTTACAGGCCAAAGGTGAAAGCAACAATACGGTGTTTGTGGACCAGAACTGGCTCTTAGCACAGATCATGTAGGCGGTCGCCTCAGAAAAGAAAAAGTTACAAAAAGCAAATTACAATGGGAGCCATGGGGGGGCGCTAAACCATGACCTCGCCCCAGGCACTAAAACAGTCAGAGCCTTCTCTGGTGTGGACTAAAATGTGAAACAAATGTGTGTGTGTGTGTGTGTGTACAACATGCAGTGAAATATGTTGTAATAATTGTATAATAGTATTAAAAACACAGTGATAATATTTATTCACTGTCTTTTGCACATTACAACTGAGACTAAAGTCTCTGACTGGAGGAAAAAAAAACACATTTTCATACTGTATCTCATGAAAAAAGGGACTTGAACATTTCCAAGCACCGACTGTACTACAGTATGAAGCAGAAGCACACTGTTGATAACCATGCACTGTAAGTATTTTAGTGTCTTACACTTATACTGTCTGTTTATTCTTATGCAACCCCTAAAAAATCCAAAAGTTTTATATCAACAGAAAAAGGCAAAAACAAAAAACTGAAAGAAGAACGCCTTCCAAACTCTGTGTTTTGTTTTTTACTACATGTGTTTACACTGTGTATTTATGTACTATATGTACAGTATGAGTGGATGTGGTCAGTCATCAGTCCTATGCATTTCTGGGTTGAAGTTAAACCCAGATCCTGTTCTGGAAACACTTTTAACACCAAATAAATCATTTTAAGATAAAAAAATTGTTTAAATTTTAATATAACAAAAAAAAAACTAAATATTTACATTCAGTTGGTTTAAAATATAAATGTTCAAACTTTTATATGGAATATTATGGGCAGTTTCTGCACCTTCAGAAAACATTAGTGTAAAATCCAACTGTCAGATTTCTCTTTTTTTTTTAGCCAGGACACACAGATAACATTGGCTGCAATTGGAATATTTGATCTTATTGATTTATATGTGGATTAACTGATTTCCAAACATTCCTGCAACCCCACCCACCTACGAACCTACCATGGTAGATGGGGCCAAAACAACACATTCGTAACTTTATTTTAAACACATTCTCCTTGAACAAATGAGATACTGTGGCACAAATTGAAAAGTTATGTGAACTTGTTATTTCAAATTATTTTGAAATTTGTATTAATTCAAAAGTATAGTGATCAGATGCTTTCATCTCCAGATCTGATTTGCAAAAGCTGCTGATTAGATTGAATCAAGGTTTTTGTTTTTCTTTGGCCTTGACAAAAAAAAGTGTAATAATTACCATTCTTGGTCACATGACCTCAGCAGTGAGCTTATAAATGTTACTGGGGTTTTATTATGAGATGTAACATCCACTTACTGCACAAAAACAAATTTAATAATAGTGGTTCTCAAAGAAGGGGTCATGTCCCCCAAGGGAGCACATAACTATTGCGAGCGGGTCCATGCAAAGAAAATATCAATATTCATCATTTCTTGTGTGCACTTTATTTTTTACCATGAGAACAGACACTTTGGGAATTACTGTAGTGTGTTTATAATAAATTAGAGTGGCTGCACTGGAGCACCACAGATGGTTTAACCATAGAACTATTTCCAAACAGAGAGGGGCAGAGGCTTTGGGAACAACTGTGTAAGAGGATACACAATTCCCAAAATTCTTCCATGTAAAGTCATCTTGGGAATTATTCATGTAAAACATTGTATGACATCACGCTGAGTACAATGAACTGTATTTTTGCTACTGTAAAGAATCTATTCCAGAACTTCCAGACATCTGTGGCTGTTTTAAAACAGTGACGTCACACAAACCCAAACACAAACAAGCAGTTCAGTTGTTTAATTTTTCTAACTTCATTTTTAATGCAAACAAAAAAAGCCAGGTGTTACAGTAGGTGTCCAAATGTCTGGTTTCCTAGTGAATCCCCTTCCTTGTATATTGTATGCGACGTGTTTACACTGTGTGTTTCTTTCTTCTTTTTTTTTTTTTTTTTGCAGATGGTGTAAAGTACAATATAAAATAGTATTTTTATATCAAAAACATTACTCTTTCTGAATGCTGGCAAGAAAACGTGAGTAAAAAGACGAAAAAACGTGTATAAATGTACTGTTGTTTCATTTCTTTTATTCTCGGTGAGTGAGACGAAGAGTGTATATTCTATACTTCTCTTTTTGAGAAGGACGTGTGAAAACATCAGAGATGACAAAAATAAATTGTCTAATTCTATAAGGCGTTCATGTCGTTACTTTAATGTTTGAATATTTCTGTCTAATTTGAGTTATAGATTTAGAACAGTAAAAGAGTCGATACGTCAGAAGATGCACACGGTAGTATACAGTGGATACAGTTTAGTCGAATCAACATTCTAAAAAGTACCTTAAGGTAGTTGTCAAACTTCAGTTTTCTAATTTTAATATGTAAGAACTATTTTTCACTATTAAATAAATCACAACAAAATAGAAACGCACCATGTTTCACAAAAATGTGATTTGATTCAGTTTTAAAAGGAAGTAAAACAAAAATATCTGTCTATTGCAACTTTCTCGTGTACCTTGAAAAGTATTGCTTAGTTTAGTTTAGTGTATTTAAATACCAGACTCTGGAAATGCCTCCATGTCTGAGCTACATGGAAATCATTTCTGTTTTATAAATAACAGTCCATGTTTATGTACTGTGTATAATACTGTGTACTTTACCTTCTGCTGGCTTCCATATAACAGGCCCAGCACACACACACACACACACACACACACACACACACTAGTCTTTGTGTTTTGTGAGCACCTCACACAGACCCATGTTTATTCCCTAATCTCTAACATTAACTGTTCCAATTATGATTAATCCTAATCCTTTCCTCAGCCCAAATTTTATTCCTACCTCAGTTGGGACGTGCAAAAGGCCCCGCAACTCCAAGAGTCCCAAAAACAAAGGTGTGTGTGTGTCAACTATCATGTCCCCACAATATCAGGATCACACACACACACAGAAAGAGAGAGAGAGTGCATTCCTGATCCGTTTCCGACACAAACAAACGCATGAACATTGACAGCACATGTTGAAAAGCCGTTAACACTGAACCAAGGAGTTCCTTCAAAAACACAGACCAAAACAAACAGACGTGGACGTTCGTCTTCTATGAAAGTAACAGTTTGATTAGAGTGAATGTCCGTCAAAGTAGAGTCACATTGCAGAAAAGTCTTTAGAGCCCCTAAAAGCTCATTTGAAAGTCGAGCATACTGTATATTCCAGTGCTGTTGTTTGTTTTTGGTCTGGACTCCGAGGCCCCTCCCACTCACCCCTCCTCTCTGCAGCGAACCACTCCTGAGTGAATTAAAGTAAAAGCAGAGATAAGATAAGGATTTTAAATATGCCACTCTGTGGACAAAGTCCTTCCACCGACACTCGTTACGGACAGCCCCGTTTCCTCTAAGACTTTTTGCCAACTTTGTCCTGAGTTTCTCACAAATGGCTATTAATGTTAAACACTGTTCTTATGTTTTATTTTACGCTTCAATTGTTGCATCTTTATCCTCTTGATATCATTTCAATATTGATTAATGTAAAATCCTCTATTACTGTTTTTGCTTTGAAAAAATTCTACCTTTTTTAAGTCAGTTCAGTCATAGTAGAAAGAATCTCAATCTCCCCCCCAAAAAAGATATTACAAAAATAAAACAAATCCAGACATCAACTTTGTTTTCTGAAGACTAACCTTTTTTATTAAGAAACAGAAAAAAAAAAACATTTTACACAATTGCAAAAGTGTTCAAACACGAACGTTTTTCTAGTGTACAGGTTGGCCATAGAAATAAAAATAAAACATTTCAAATTATTTTTAAAAATGTTTCATTTTGTTTTATTTCATTTTTTTTGTATCATTTTTTTCAATCCCACACCCCGAGAATTAAAAAAGATTTCCCCGTGTACATTCTCGAAAAAGGAAGGGCTGGTTTTCAGTACAATGGAGCTCAGACGGAGGTGAAGTCGTTGGACGAAGCTGAGGATGGAGACAATGAGCAGTGTCTTATTTTTAGCACAAAGATTGACAACATTGGAAAACAGAATTTTACAAACTGTCATTACTGGTAAAAACCTCAGACAAACTCAAAAGCAAATAAGGTTGATATCCCCTCAGTGATAACACTGTCCTGGAATAGTACAGAAATACTAAATTATCTACTTTCTTTTCCCCACAGATATTCAGCTGTGCCCAAAGTTACTGTTGCTCCACCTTTCTGTGGTCACGTGGAGCTACATTTAGAATGAAGGTACTGCAGGCGGCAGGTAATTTATATATGTTCCCTTGTAGATATATATAGGCTGTATATGTTGTTTCAAAATAAAACTTTATACAAATGTGATTAGAGAAAAGGTTAGATAAAGGTTGTAAGCTCAATCTCTAATGCCCTGTGCATTTTTTTCATTTTTTTATGCTTGACAAAAAACTCAAAAATGCGGTTTTCCAACGTATTAATCTGTCAAAGGTTTCAGTCATTCTCCAAATGTTTGTCAGAACACAGATTCCAATTTGTCAACAAACACTGAATCCAGAAACACTTCTATTCAAAGTGTCACATTCATCAACACATCATTTACACAATATTTGAATATAATTTGGTATAACCAAATGTATTTTCTTTTTTTTCTTTAACAATTTACATCATTCAGATATTATTTTTTCCTGACTGAATCCTTCACAGTGGAAAATACATTTGAATATTTTGCCAAAATAAAGCCTTAAAAATTAATGTCAGATTTGGGCAGAGATTTGTAACAAATTAAAGTTTTGGAAAGTTGTCTGATTTTCAGACAGTATGGCAGTGTTGGAATAATCCATCAAGTAGAGTCAGTGGCAGTGTTACTGAGGTCGTACTCCTCACCTTCACTATGTAGTATTTAGTTAAAAAAAATCTTTTCTCATTGCATTTTTAATGGACCCTTAAAAAAACCATTACAAACTTTTGTCTTCAAGAATTTACAGGCCTTGACTAGCAGTGAACACCACCGCTTTAAAAAATTAATGAGGAATACAAGTAAAAAAAAATATTGTAGAGTATTGCACATTAATCTTAGCTTTTGATTATAACTCGATGTATGTCCGTCCAATAAAAGAAGAAAAGTCAATGTATTTGGACTGAAAAAAAATGCTAAATGAAAGAATCAAGAAGAAACTAACAGGATTAAAGGAAACAAATTTAACAGAAAATGAAAATAATGTTTTGACCCTCCAACAATAAAAAATAAAAAAAAAATTTCAGAAACCTTTACACTTGTGACAAGTGACGTTCACATTTCTGTTCAACCTTCTGCTGTAAAAACACGTGAATCAGTAAATGCTTTTAAACTACAGCAACTTCAGCATCTCTAATAAAACAAATGGTTAGTTTAGGTTAGTGAGGAACACACTGCAAATAAACACACAGGTGAAGGAGGTTAAACCAGTAACATGTGGGTTAGTATTGATGATTCATGGTTCTGGTCCAGTCCGATCTGAGCACAAAAGGTAATGTTTTCTATCGGCAGTAAAAATATGAGACTGATTTTGTTTTCATTCCATGGCGTCGCCATATGTGACACTGTGCCGATAGTGTCACATAGTTTGCGTTGGGTGTCGGAGGGGCGGGGTGGGATTGGTGGGGGGCTAGTAGAAGTGAATCATGTCACATGATTGCAGCTTTACCTTTGTGCTGAACTCTGTGCCTGAACCTAGAACCAGGTCTGTACAGTGTTTATAATAAGAAGCTCTGTTTCTGAAATACAGTAGGTGGAGATGGTTGCACACACACTTCATATATAAAAGTCATGGTGAGGATTAGTACGTGTCCCGTTTGATATTATTGAATGATATTAAAGTGATATGAGCGACATCAATGTACATAAAAAAATAAACCGTACAATCAGTACTGATAAGTCAGCGATGGTACTTCTGCAAGAGTCCAACGTGAACTGACTGTTTCAGTCAGTCAGAACAGACACAATTCAAGGCAAAAAGCTTCGGAAATCACTTTGATATGATTCAGGTTTTTGACTACAGAGGATCACCTTAAATCAGATGGACGTTTCATAAGGCCATAGTTTACAGACCACACTTGATTTTTTGAGCTCTTTTTTATCTGGTTAGAAGATTAATGTATTTCACAGAAATGAAGCCGAGGCTTACAGTCCAATTTGACAGACCACCAGCTGATGTGTCTGATACTGTGTCACTGCTGCACGGCTCAGGGTTGTGTATAGAGCAGGCTGTATAGAGTTAAGTTGAGCCGTCCATTACATAATAAAGGAATTATAATATACACATAAAATGTGTCCTCAATTGGTTAGAGCTGCCAAAAAGTAAATTGTTCACTTGTGAGAATAATCCGTTTTTAAAACCAAATCCTGTTTCCAACGAGTAATTCTACTGCCCACCCAATTGCGGTTGCATTTTTGCATTTTTTTTACACACCCTGTGCAGAAAAACGTTTTGCTTTAATTGAGGCTCGTCTGGCTTACAATACCACCTCACCACACACCTCAGATTAAAATAGCATTTTCACAGCTGGTGGAGTCAAGGCTCACAGTACATTTGTTGCGGCTTTATTTCAATGAAATATTTATCGGATAAGCGCTAAGAGGTCCAGAGCAGTCGATCGTTGGTCGCACACTGATATGGAAAAAGAAGTACATTTTTCAAACCTACATGTTTTCTTTTTTTTCACTGATGTAACTGTCAATCATCTGCTCTTTACTGTCACTGGTTCAAATCTTGTGTCATGGACCCATTCAAGTAAACATGTTATTCTAGAGACACTGCAACCGTATGAGGGACTGATGAGTCTGGGTGAACTGGGATTCAGTGGCAGCCATGTCAATCTTTCCATATTATAACCAGAATAAAATAACTTTGGTTTCAAAAACAACAACTTTCTTCTTTCTCCAGACTTCACTCCAGAGTTCTTCTGATCACAAAAGCCCAATTCTGTCAGTCACCAGCTTCCCTTCTGTAGTCTGCTGGGTTGACGAGCAGTTGGCACTGAGACACATCAAAATTAAATGCTTGTCGAATGGTGCTTGGCCACTGCCTACAGCGCCTCCTGCCTGTCAGGGTTTAACCAACTAAAGTACTGAAGGCATTTAGAGAAGAGTGAAGTCCCATTACAAACCACCAGGTCACACCATTGTAGAATTTAGAATTTGATTGGTTGCTCAACATTTGCCTTGTACCACAGGGATAAAACAGTGGGAAGAGTGGGAAAGGGGTTTTGTCCACCTGGAAATTAACAGACGATCATCCTTATGACCAACACAGTAGAATGTCATGACGAGTACTGCACTACGATGGCTGCCACTGTCAATGTATGATTTCTTTAACAGCTTGGTATTTTCACCAGGTTCCTCTACGCAAAACTACAGTATTATTGGTTAAATCTAAATACCTAAAATCTAAACACTGACTGAAAAAAAATTCGACAACAGTGTCATAAACAAAACAAATGAATCCCATCAAATAACTGTAAGCCAAGAGAGCCTAACGCAGTCACTAATGTAGCATAAACCAGTCTAGGACAGAGAAGATAAGATAGGACTGATAAGCTACTACTTTACATCACGCCACAGACAACACACTCAAGGGTATAACCTCCACACTTCAAATCCTTTCAGGAAATCCCTGTGTCTTTGTGCAGGAGCAGGTTCTCACGTTACAGTTTCCGTACCAATTTCTCTTTGACCCGTAGCTTATAGATGAGGATAGATGAGGATACTGTGCTAAGGTGCTAATAAGGACTACTGGTCTCTCGTTTCAAAGCTAACAAAATGATCTAATACAACACACCAGGCCGTTTGTGAATCACTGATTCCAAGGAGTTATGAACTTGTCAGATTGTTATTCAAACCAATCCAGCTGGTTTTAAACTACGGAGGAAAGAGTACCATTAAAAATAGAAGAGAGTGTAACTTTGGCGGCCGCATCTTTGGATTGTCACTCTTTAGTTTTATTGTTTTGATTCTTTGCTGATATCGGAAAGAGAGACAATTCAGTCGGTCTAATTTGATACATATCAGTGGATTAGAAAACTTAACAAAAAAAACAAACAAACACAAACTTCAATAGTGAGATAACTTCCTCACAGCAGGGTGAAACAAGGCAGAACCCAACAGCACATACACCCCTGGATAAGTGCAGAACTTTAACAATTGAAAAATTTGGTCATCAACAAAGTTTCAGAAACATTTCTTATATTCTGGCTACAAAAAGAAGTTTGATTCCAAGACTTAAAAACTACTTTTCTTTTTCATGGTGTACAAAAGTAGCTGGTAGTCCAAGCAGAGATCATGGTCCTGAGACCAGGAGCTGGTGCTGAGCTGTCACTGTGTCTTTAAAGTAGACAATGACGGGGCAAGTGAAGTCACACGAACATGTAAATATGGATCACATATTTGAAGAGGCCTCTGGTTTACTTTTGAAATAGATTTGAAATGTGATTGCTACCCTCTAGAAGCTAACTACCTCTGACGTTCTTCACATTTTCACATTGTTTCCTTCTAAACCCTTATCAGTCCACCAGACAGAGAGACAGACAGAAAGCGAGCTAACTGGAGAAGCATTTAAGAAAGCAGGAGAGGAGAGGGATCTCATGGAGAACCTCCTCCTCTTTGTTTACATCATCGTTTCTACAATGGTGTGGCTGGGCGCCTTCATCAGCAGGCCCTTGTTCCCGTTGGGATCCAATGGGAAAGTGAGATCCATGGGGCGGTGGTCTGCGGGACGGGAGCTGGCCCCACCACGCACTGGGGCTGCCACAGCCTTGATCCTCTGTAGGGAGGATGAGGGGAAATGGAAGACGGAGTTAAAGTAATGGGAAAAAATAAGCAAGAGGATCTGAGATTTTAACCTAATTTACATTTTTATAGACTAGATTAAGGAGAATTAGGAAAACAATTGGGTTTAACTGTGTAAATCTTCAATCCTAAATTTAGTTTTTTTCAAATAAATACAATAAAATTGCATCAATGTAATGTCTAAATGTAATTAAGTTCAGTTATCCTCCTTTATTTTAACCATAATTTTACCTATTCATATTTGTTGTGTTGCCAATTATGTGGGCAGGCCATCTATTGGTGGAGCAAAGCACAGCAAGGCAATTTAATTAATTTCTATTTCCCTTTTCAATGATTTTTACAATTTAGTAGGAACTACAGCATTTAGTGAAGTCTAGTGAGGTTTTAAAGCAGCTGTAAATGTCTGAATGTAAACTACACTCGTTGTTCCACTAACAGCCTCTTGTGGCCTCCTCCATGTGTTTGGTTAAATCTTCCCCACCTGTGGCCTGTTAACTCCTCCCCTCGCAGCAGGTCTACCTGCCCTTGTCATTTTTAATGGTGAGTGAACCAACCCTAGTGATTCTTCATGTGTTTTTGACTTCAGTCTGTTTTTGCACCTTAGCTTTTGTTTCAATTTTGTTCATTAACAGATCATTTGCGTTAATATGCAAGTATGGAGACTGGGGAACGAAGAATTTCATGTCACAGAGCAGATCAGAGAGCTTTTAAAACAACGGGCTACAGCCACACACGGCTGGTGACTATTTGGCTGCAGCACACACCTCGATGAGGGGTCCATCAGACTGAATGATCTTGATGACAACCACCATGGGGATGCAGATCATGGAAGCCAGAGCCAGAGTCCATCCTATTCCAATGGCCCAGTCAGGATACTTGTAGACCTTGTTGTACGTCAATGGCTTGTATTTGACCAAAGAGAAAATAAAGCAGCCCTGTGGACGAGAGGAGCAGCTGTAAACTGAACACTTCCACTGTGACGTTGAAGTATACACCAGGGTAAGTCTAAAAAGTCCTCGGACAGATGTTGTCATTTCTGCAGGTGTCTAATTTAAATCATTAAAACCTGTTCATATCAATCTTTGTGTTTTAAACAAATATTGAATGAAAACCTATTAATATATTTTTAGTGTAAAATTAATGTTTACATAATACATAATACATTTGTAATTTTTTTTCATCAAAAGTATTTTTTATGTTTTAATGTCCATGGGAATCGTACTAATGACTTTATGCTTTTTAATGACGGAATATACATATATAACAGAATCCCTGCTGAGGTTAAAAGACAGAAACAATATTTTACTACTACTACTATATAATGCCACAAATTAAAAATGTTTGCAGGCTACAGGAGAGTGTGGGACGTCTCTTACCACACACAGTAAAGGAGTGATAACAGTCCAGCTCCACTTCATCCATGAATTTGGTCTGTAGCCAATCATCTCCTCCAGAGCATCATAGAAATTATCAACGCCTGTAGAGACAGTAGGGATGGAGTTAACAATAATGAAATATCACATAATTGTTAAAATACCCATTATTAAGTTTGATTCTTCATTTACAACTGTATTGGGGCAAAGAGACCATTTCTAAACCAGATTTCTAAACCAGATGTTTTTTTATTATTCTATTCTTATTCCAGTGGCGAGTGACATCATCCCTCTAAACAATATCATCATTGTGACAGATGACTGGATCAAATTAGATAAGATTAGCCTTCATATTGGGATATGGTACTGTTTTAGACCACTTGACATGAGTACCCAAGTCTGAAATGGAACAATACCACTGGAAATCTTGGGGGCAGTTAACAGAAGACAACAATGGAAACGACCTTCTGCACAGACCTCTTTATTCAGTGTCGATACAAAACCTTGTATCAGAAGCATCCATTACTATGAAGGCGGACAGTTCCGTTTAATATGCTGTAAAAGATTTTTTACTCACCATAAACCCAGGCAACAGCTACACATTCAAAGAATGCCACCCACAGAAGGCACACACCGCTCGCTGCATAGTAGTCGAACAGCTGGAACACATACATGCCACCCTGGAGGGTAGAAGGAAGGCAACCATAGATGTCACACCAAAGCGGGTTAGTTAGTAAAGGAGGAGAGAATATACTTTAAAGAGATGTTTTTGACAATCAGACAAAAATAGACCAAAAATCTGGAAAATTAGTATATGAGCCAAAAATTGGACAGATGGAAGATGAGGAGTGGGAAATTGGGAAAAGGCAGGTCAGGTCAGGGCGAGTCTGTATCTATTAATACAGGGAGATGTTCTCATGACACAATATAAATAAACCACTGTGTTCTCCCCAGAGACAGATGCTGAAAGTTGTCTGAATACACTTGTTTCAACTGTGCCAAACACATGCAACAAATGTCAGGGTTGATGCTGTTACCTTGGTAACCATAGTGAGTCCCAACAGGTAGCTGATGCAGCAGATGATCGCGATGAAAACCTCTCTGTGGTAACCCTTCCTTAGGAAGGATGGATACAGATCCACCAGTGATGTGATCTGACCTTCCACCTCCACAAACTGCAAGGAGACACACAAACATCTTCAACAACAACTCAAATTTGAGAACTGTTGTACTATTTCTTAAGACAAGGTTTCCACCTCTGGTAGTATTTTTCCTTACCTGACTGTCGAGGCCAAGCAGCAGCAGCATAATGAAGAAGAGAATTGCCCAGACTGTAGGAAAAGGCATCATGGTTACAGCCTTGGGGTAGGCAATGAAAGCTAGACCTGGACCTGCAGAGGAGTGGAGGGAGGGAGTGGGAGAAAAAGCAGGGGGTGAAAAAAACTATAAGTGTCATTTAATTAGCTTATCTGATCTGCATCCAGGATGTTGGCACCCAAAACACGAGATGCAGATGCAGATATGAACATGTCATTCAAAATCAGTTGTCAACACAGAGCTGCCTTCTGGCCAGGAACTAGCAGTAGAAGAAGAAGGAAAATATTTGTGACAAAATGTGAAATTTTGGACCCAGAGGTCTGAGTTCTGGATGAATCTGTGAGATAAACACAATTATTAAAATTGTTTTTCAGCAGCAGCTTCTTCCTTCTTATACAGTTAGAGAGGCTATAAAAGGTGCTGAGCTCCAGCGTTCTCAATTCCTGCTCACATGTAGTGAGCTATGTCCAACTATGGCTAGTTCTGGTCCAATTTGATGGTACTGTGTTTAAGGTTGTCAACAGATTAGGAGGTACAATCAGCAGTGTCAAAGAATTACAATAGCACTCTGCTGTTGACAGTTGCTGGCTGTGACACCACCTAAAAACATCTGGAAAATCTTTAGTCTACTTAGGGTGCAGCCCATCAATAACACGGTGATAAGGTTGGACACCCCAGGTTCCTATTGAACCAAATGTTCTTGTTCTTATTTTCCCACTGTTTTTGTCAATAACAACAGCCATGTGTTGAAAACCTGTCCCTGACACATTTCTTTCAAAGCAGTTGTTGGATCAATCTCCATTAGTCTGTTTGTTTATTTGACTTACCTGTTGTTTGCCAATCCAGATGTATTATTACTACAACATTAATGCTACCATAACATACAGCAAGGAATATTGCAAAAAAAATCCATATGAGAGAAAAACAGTAATCAGATTAGAAGAACATGTGAGTCTTGGTAAGTCATGAGAGAAATGAAGAAGCATGCCTGGTTCTCTGTGGTACTGTATGTAGTACAACTGTTACATGTAGTATGGAACTGCAAGTGACAATTGAACACAATCCAGCAATCAATAATCCACACTGATTCACTTTTCTGGCAGCAGAAACTCTTAAACTGGGACAATCTACTGCCGGATGAGTAGAATCAACTGGAATCAACTGGAATCATGTTTTTTTTTTTATCACTTGTTTGTTAAAATGTCTCAACTGACTGATAGTCACTGAAGTCATTTCATATTCCAGGCTCAATTGACGTGTTCCATTTTACATAACTTAAAAATGTATAAAACAGCAGCAGGTCTAGTCTGTGAGATTGATCCATCTGTCAAATTGATTGATCTGTCAAACTGATTGATCTGTCCATGTCAATGTCACATGTCAATGTCACATGTCCAGAAACAAGGAAGCAGCCCAAACGGGTAACAGCAAAATAGCACTGAAAACAATGTCAGTGTGAAAGCAGTAGTATTTGATTTGTTTAATTGTACAATTATGACAAGGCATCCAACCAAACACAGTGATTACATAGAAAATACAACACCACCTTCTTTATGAAGCTGCATGTGTAACTAGGGTATCAGTGAAAGTCAGTGATTTTTCTTCAGCTGACTTGAGCCAACAGAAGTCACAGCCTTGGAGCTTACTAGGCATTAGAGTGTGGAACCATACAGCACCCCCCACAGGCAGACCTTCAGGAGATGTTTCTAGAACCTGATTATATGGTCTGGGTTGTATTTGCATTTTGCTTGTGAGGTTGGTTGACTCACAGCTCAATGACTCCTTTAAACTGGATGATCTGGTTGAAATCTAACTAAAATACCATGGCTTCAGGCTAAGGATTATCTGTGAGGTAAATATACCTATATTCCAAATGCACATTTGTTTTATTCATTTGCATTGGACATTGCAGTAGTACCAATGATTTTGATGTGTTTATCTGAAACCATTTTTATTTTTGTACTCTGTTTTTGAACAATAGTCTGTAGTAGTTAGTTCTCACTGTGGTAGAGTGAAATGACATTAACTGTTCTCATTTAATTTGGAAATGAACCGCTGTAAGATAAATCAGTGTTCAATGACTTTTCCACTATTGTCACGTCAATATCATTTGTTGACATTTTACAATGTCATTCCTCTTCAACTGGTTTAGAAACCTTGGGTTGTTGGGAATTCATTAACAAAACCAAATCTTTTAACTGTTCCACGATCAGGGAGTTTCTCTGCAAGGTCTGCCCCTACATTTACCAAATACGGTATAAATTGTCAGCCACTAACATCAATCCTGTCCTAAGAATAGTGAAGAAATGTGTTATTTGTTTGGGGCTATTTCTTACAGTACTGTTTAATATAGACTCCACTTTCATTAATTGTTGCTTTTGTTAAAAAGTTAAATTTTACTTTCACATTTTTGTTGTCTGTAGTTTCAGTTCTCAGTTTAATTAAGCAAAATTCTATATTTATTGAACTCATTTTGCGGGAACCAATACGATCAGAAGTTTATTGGATCTTAAAAAGACAAGGACTGTATGCCCGTCTTATCCCATTGACATACATTCAAAATTCCAAGTCCATGTATTTATATCAAACAGAAATCCCAGTATCTTCAACAACAATGGATCAGCGTGAAGTATATCACAGAAATGAGGCAACTTTCACACCAATTCTGAAGATGGTAATGAAAATAAGGCTCTGTATGGTTGCACTTCAGAGTCTGACTTGGCTTATGAAAAAATTGAGTCAGTCTTCACATCAGTGTGTTCCAGGAAGTAAAAACAAGCATCAATGTGTCTAGATCTACTGAGCTAAACGTTGCCTGCTGTTAACTGTTCTGGCTTTTTTGAAATCCGAGCCAATAAAAGTCAATAAGAAGAACGGATGACACTAGCAAAAGCTTTGAAGCTTTCCCATAATACTTCATCCTCCTTAACAACAATCAAGTCAATCATTCCTCTACTTTGTGAAATGATCGAAATCTGTAAACAGAATCATTACTTCAGTGGAGAATACTACACCCTTCTTAGAGCCACAAAAAGCTGACATTTCTAGAAATACCAATTAAAACATTATAAGAATGCAGGATGTTGTATTCCACAAAGTTATTGAAATAAATTATGAAGTTCAAACCAATGACACTCCTCTGACACAAATGCAAACACTGAGGTTTAACACTAACGCACCAACATTTTCACAGTAACTGTACTACAGGACAAAAACCCTGATGATGTTGCATTACACCAATCATGTATGTCCACCTCAAGTCTCATTTTTGTGTTTGATTGCCATAACGTCCTTGTTCAGATGCCGTCACTTGAAATTCATGAACAAATTCTTTTTCGGCCAAATAATTTTGGAATTTCTGGTTTCGGGGTTTCATTGCTGTTTTTTAAAAATATAATTACGGTTGTATATTTAGTTAACGAGCAAGCAGCGCCCACCATCACTGCTGCCTTTACAGAACCCTCGTACCTGACTCTGCCACATCAGCAATGTCCACCCCTTGCTCTTGTGCCATGAAGCCCAGGACGGAAAATATTGCGAAGCCAGACACAAAACTGGTACCACTGTTGAGGGCTCCCAGCAGCAAACAGTCCCTATGTCACACATATGTCATGAGGAGGATTTGTTAATGCACACACAAGGATCCCTTTACCCCCGTCTCTTCTCTGCTGCTCACTCCCCCACACCGAAACTAACTCCTCACCTGTAGCAGTTGTATTTGTACTTGTTGTAGCTCCCCAAGGATGTCATAGCGCCCAAACAGATGGCATAGGAAAAGAAGATCTGGGTGCCAGCATCTATCCACACCTGTAGAGTGGTGGGGACAAACAGGCTGAGGCTTACTGACGTGTGATGAAGACGGGACCCATGTAACTTCAGTATTATTTTTTTTGTACAGACAACTAACTAGAAACAGAGAATCCGTTGTAGAACTTTATCACTGGAGAAGAGAGGAACCTACCTCTGGGTCCTTCAGCCGAGAGAGATCAGGGTACAGGTAGAACTTGATGCCCTCCATAGCACCAGGTAGTGTCACACCACGGATCAAAAGCACGATGAGCATTATGAATGGGAATGTGGCAGTGATGTAGACCACCTGACAGAGATATGGAAAAACAGGTTTTATATAATTGGTTTAAGTTTAATTTAATCAATGATATCAAAGTCGGGGTCCTCAAACACTGACTTTTGTGAGATTTCATTTTTAATTTCTTATCAATGATAAATCTCTGTCACCACAATAATGTGGTTGTAGTTCTTTTACCAGACTTATGATGTCAATAATTGGAATATATAGTGTGCAAAATTTGAAGCAGACTGGTCAGAGCACAGACTGAAAGACAGGAGTGTAGTCTTACTGTAGTTTTATAGAGGTGGGTCTAGTTTTATTTTAATTATCTTATTTTAAATGACTAGAGTGTAATGTCCCTTAAGTGACTCTGTATCCAGCAGGATTTCATTTTCCATCTTTTTTCTTATGTGTGCTTTTCAGGTGATCATATTTGGGACTTAATCCACCATGAAGTATAAAACTATGATGTTCTTCCTTTGGAGTCAAATCTCTACTGCAACAATACTTCAAAGTATTGACGACAACACTATAATTGTTTTTGTCGTACAAAGACAACTTCTACGAAATAGTAGAGGTGTTATCTTTAGCTACCTTGCCAGTTGACTTGACTCCCTTCCAAATGCAGAAAAAGCAGATGACCCAGACCAGCAGTAAGCACAGAGCCAAGTCCCATTTGACTGGACCCACATCCTCAATTCCATTGCTGATACCCAGAACATTATGTCTGTTGAGGTAAAAACAAACAAACAGACAAAGTTATAGTTCTTGGTGTAATAAATGTAATATCAATGCAAGGTTATTACTAGTGTTGCCCAATCTCACAGAAACAAGCAATAACCCCGTGGCAAATACAGAGTAAAAAAGTATGAAAAAAATACACCTATACCTTATATATAAACGGAAACATTGGATTTCAATTTTCTCAAGCGAATTTACAAACAAAAAACAAACACTACAGTCGCACAAAATAACGGACCTGGAAATGATTATCAGGGCCACGGCCATAACTTTTAATAATTAATTTTACAGTAAAGGCGGATAAATGTATTTGCTGGTCCTCTAGCACTCGAAATATATAATATTTAAAATTAATAGTATTTTGTTTATTTTAATTAACACACTAAAAAGCATCGATTCGCTTCATTTGGTGTGAGTGACTTTCGGCAGCTCCCCGCCCCCTCACAAGCTGTTCCATCTCACTGCGCATGTGCACACAGGATTCAGGAAGACGGCAGCAAAAATAGACTAGTAGACTAGAAAGTTCGAACTAAATGAAGCGGAACTTGCCGAAAGTTCGAACTAAATGAAGCGGAACTCAGAAAAGAAAGCAACGAGAAAGCATCTTTTTAGGTTCGTTTTATGAAAGTTTCAAAGGCGTCTATTTTTTAAGAGAGACACCTAACATGACATTTCCTCACGTCAACAGGAGCGTGATGTCGCTGAACGCTGTCAGTGTCGGGTCAGCAATGACTGGTTCATAATGAAGAGAGTAACGAAAAGTGCCACACGCCACAACTGAGACTTAAATCTAACATTTCTGAACCCTCAAGCCAAAAAAAAAAAAACCTACTACACTGTGTGAGTTTACACGGTTAAAAACACATTAAAGGAACAAAAAGGGGAGAGAATATTGACAAGAAGCGTGTGGGGATAAATTAAATAGCTAAATGAAAAATAATATTTTAACTATGTTAAAAGAGAGAGTAGATAGTCTTAGAGAAATGTGTTTGGAACACTAGGAAAAAAATAGGAATAGCAAGAAAGGAGATGCATGTTAAGTAAAGGTTAGAAAGACACTGGACAGAAGACATTAAAGAGACAAGGTGAATATAATGTTAAAGTTAGAGTGACATGAAGGCCAAGTTAAGAAGTTGTGAGAAAGACAAAATATATATATATATATATGCAGTATATATATATATATACTGTTAAATATTTGTCTTTGTGATTTACCTTTTTGTTTTCTAATGTGGCGTGTTCTTATTTCAGTGGGATAAAAACTAAATCTTTTTTGCTACACAACCTGAAGACCTTGTGTTAAGGTAAGAAAAACATTTTTGTCATTGGACTGTCCTGTTTTGATTACAATTCATTTGACTGTAATTGCTGTCAGTAAGGATGGATAGAAATGCCTTAATTAAAAGCCAAGGTACAGGTACAAGAAGACTGCTTCATTAAAAAAAAATACAAACCTCCATTTTTTTAATGCAGACCAAATTGTAGTTAAGAAAAGCAAGTAATGGAAGGGTACAGCTGCAGTGTTGCTTTGTGGCAAACAGTAGGACAGTCTGGCTGGATTTGAAAGACTGAATTGTAGTTGTAGACCTGTTGTTTCCTGAAGGATGGGACAAAAAATTAAAAGCGGCTTCCCCAGGTTTATTCCTGATTCTGGGACACAGATGACACCATGGTGGCTTGGTTCAAGTATTCTCGATGTAACAGAACCTTTGGAAATCAAGTGGGAGGAGTAACAGGGGGCATTTTGACTGGGTTTGTCCTAGGCTCCCAAGTGGCTAAATATTCCCATGCTTTCAGCTGACATGTACACATAAGGTTTTTGTGCATGCTCTGCATTTGTAACAAGTGAAATTGAGTAGAGAAGAGTATGATGACGATGGCAGGACAACAAGAGAAAAGGCTGGTTGAACACAGGTTGTTTCATTGTGAAAAAAACATGGTAAGATGAAAAAGGAACTGAAGTTGGTGTTAGTCTGAAGGGGGTAAAGGAAACGTGGAGAACAGTACTGGGTGTATGCATTGCCTAATGACAGAAGAAAGCATGAGTAAGAGGAATGAGGATGAAGTTCAACCAATGAAATAAAAGAAAAATTGGAGGATATTTATGTTCTGAACTCATCTCCTTTTTTTTAAGTTGCAGCACATTCTATATATTTATTTTTTATCTAAACTTCCCACATGTTAAAGATGCAGATGTGAGTGTATTTGTGTGTGTGTGTGTGTGTGTGTGTTGCTCTTATATAACTCACTCCCAAAACTCGGTGACAGGGGAAATGAAGTTGGTAGCGTTGGAAGCCAGCCAAAGGCTTTTGTTCTTACGGTAGACGTCCTCAATGCAGCGGTCAGTGTTCCATGGTTGATTGCACTTAGCCCAAGGAAGCTCTGGCTGAAAACACTAGAATGCAACAATTTACATTAGCTAGCTGCAGAAGAAGTAACTCATTCTTGACAGGCTGGCAGTTGTCCACAAACTCCAGTGTTTATTATCAGTGTCCAAGGACACATTTTTAAACACAAGTTAAAATTGCAACATGGCTTCTCTTCCCCTCTACTGTCAGTCGTCATGGTTTCACTTCACACTCTTGCCAACAGCTCGTACAATTTTGTTTTGGCAAAATTATGTGAACTGACCTTTTGCACCATACATTTTACTTTAACTTTTCTTTCCGTTACAGCATAAACCTAAACCTTTTTGTTTGAGCCAAAAAAAAAAAAAGGAACACGATTAGTGGCTGCATGTGTTAACATGTGTGTTCCTGTGTATTAAATATGGTCTTTTTAAATTTGTCTGGTGGGTTGAACAGTCCAAAAATTAACAAAACATAAAAAAACCATAAATTGATTACATCCAAATGATTATTTCTTACTTGCTACACTACTATTAAAATACTTCATTAATCAGTGTTACTGATTAATATTAGATCTGAAAATGTACACTTGAAAAATGTTCTGCACGTTGATAACATTTTAGCTCTCATGTTGTTCTGCAGTAAATGTGGAATTAAATGTTGTTGGGTTTTTTTTGTTTTTAAAATAATTTTCTCTTAGAGTACCTGGAACAGGTAGTAGACGCCCCAGGCCAGGATAACGATGTAGTAGATGTTGAGCAGGGAAACAATCACGATGGAGGCATAACCAATACCTGGAGGTAAAAAAGTAAAGGTTACAATATGATTCAACAACAACTGGAATAATTTCCCAATGCCAAAATCGTCTGCAGTGGATTACTAGACTTTAGGGCTTGTAAAATATATTCTGTATGTTTTTCACATCCTAAAAACATGACTATGTGACTCTGTGTATTAACATGGACAGCTTAGAGTTATACAAATAATAAGGTATGTTTAAAAATGAACCTAGGCCCAGATTAATATACAGATGTCCTAACATATAAAGTATGTGAACGAGATGTCAGTTAATTTTAAAAAGACATTGTAAAAATGTGGAGTGCTAAACATAAAAATAACCATTAACTTGCTGCGGGTTAGTAAATACAAGGCAAAAAAAAAAAAAAAACATACCATAGACACATACACAAACCGGAGCAGTCTTGTTTTAATTTTTTAACCTTTACCAGTCTCACCCTGTACTTGATTTGACATGTTTATAGCAATTAGCTGCATCAATCTTGGCCTTAAGATATAACCGACTGTAAACAACGGATCAAGGCTGTTTGTGTGTCTCTCTCTTTCGCTCCCTCTGTGTGTAAGTTTGTGTATGTGAGTGCTACCTACTTCACTATCACATCTTGTTCTTTTAATTACTTAGCTAAAAGCTAATTAGCAATGGTCTCACACACACACACACACACCAGGATCACAGGGAACAGTGGGTGCTAATCAAACAAACACACATGCTTCTCCTTCATGATGTAATATTTTTGTGCTCATCCATGGCCTTGACTGACCCCTAGGATTCGGATTTATATCTCCCTAAACTCACACAACCGTTGTTTAAACCTATTACTGTTCAATAGGTGAAAAACTACACAAGGCCAGTGCTTCAGTTGAGGTGTGCAAATATTTGGGAGCAGCTGCCAGTAAAACCAACAACAAATTGACCAAGTCTTTAAAACAGTTGTACATAAGGAATCAAACCACTCTCTCACTGTATTTTAACCGAGGTCTCTAGTTGGTTGACAGTCTTTCTGGCTTTTTTTCCCACAAAACCTAAGAGATTAGCCATGGTTTTTCCAGGATGGGAGTCTATGTGACCTTGTAGCCATTAAGAAAGTGACAGTGTTGGTGATAACATTAACAACGGCATTGTAAAAGCTACTTTATTTGATAACAGTATCATCAAATGGGCATCTGCTACAGGCTCTGTGAACGGTCATTATTAAAGACGGTGCTGGTCATCCCACTGTTACAATGGATTCACACAATTCACAGCATATGTAGCAAATGTTGGACTCATTAAACTAAAAAGATAATCTTCTGTTAAAGATATTGAAACTGTTAAGCCGCAGTCATTATATATGTGTGACATCATTAAATAGTGGTGGACACCGCCGCTTACTGTACATGCCTTTCTATAAACTACCACTGTATACTTGTACATTCCAGCTGTGTTACGGAGCTCTCCTGACTTTTCAGGGTCCAATCAGTTATCTCACTTGCTGCTTCCTTCTACCTCCACTGCACCTCCTAATTTCTTTTTCTCATCTTTTTCTAACTCCAATTTTTAACCTCCCTCTCACTCTCTCCAACTTTGATTGCCATTTGTTTTTCTGTCCTCTTCAGTTATTCTTATCAATCCATCTCCACTCTCCTCTGATCTCCTTTTCCTTCTCTGGCTGATTGTCTCTGATGTTTTTCAGAGATGTTGCCTTGGCAACGCATGATTTAGGACACTCTGTACTCCATTTTGTAAGCGTGTGTGCATGTAGGTGTGTGTGTGTAGGTGTATGACAGCTGAGTGATAATATGTCTGTACCAGCACGTGCAAGCGGCAAAGTGATAATAGTAGTATTAATACATAATTACATAAAAAAAATACTGAACCACACGGCTGGCGACGATAAAATGACTGAACCAAATTCATAAACATGAGGACAGAGGTCTCAGTGTGCCGCTGTACCAGCTCAGGCTGCGTTGCCTGGTAACAGTGCAGAGTAAATTTTCAGCCGTCTGGAGACGACTCTGCTGTGACTCAGCCTTATGCTGCACAGCCTCTGTGAAAATTGACAGAGCTTTGGAAAATTTGATGCCGTAGTTGAATTTAAAAAAGCTGAGGACACAGAGCTCTCAGCTCGGTGCTACAGTGTATTAAGGAAGATTGCTGATTGGTTCGGTTTAGGATTAGGCCGACTTTATAGAGCTGCATGTAGAGCTGATGGCAACAGATGATTACGGATTAATGCTGTTAGGATAATGAAGTGAAGGTCTCTCAAAGCTGCCATATTATTTGGGTTTATCCACCAAGATTGGAGTCAGATGTTTACTATCACTTATCATTTACATAATCTTATTTTACATAGCAATAAATATGAGGGTTAGTCAAGAAGTTTTAGTTTTATTATTGTATCTTTGTCAAGTGTTTATGGAGAAGACAGAGGAGTTAGATAGAATAACCATCAGTTTAACCTTTTTTGTTTTTATGATTATTGTGAAGAAGACAGTAGGATAGGTAAGAGGTCAAAACAACATCTTTAAAATTTGGTTAAATACAATTCCTTCCCAAAAAACCCCCCATCAATTTCGAGAAACCACTTACCAGTAAAAATGGGGCAGAGCTTCTCCCAGCAGGTGATGCCACCCTCGGAGGTGAACTGACCAAGGGCAACCTCCAAGAAGAAGACTGGCAGACCTCCGCCAAACAGGAAAATGAAGTAGGGAATGAGAAATGCACCTGCAAGTTGACATTATGACATCAAGGAACAGGCAAAGCAGAAAAACCAACTGAGCAATAATTTTCTTTTTATGAAAATCTAAATATTGGTTGTTATTGAAGCCTTACCTCCACCATTTTTGTAGCAGAGGTAAGGGAAACGCCAGACGTTCCCTAAACCAACAAAGCCACCAGCTACAGACAGTACAAAGTCCAACTTGCTGGCCCACTTCTCTCGTTGCGGGTGTTTGCCCTCTGCCTCGTCTTCAGGCCTGGTGCCAGGACTCTTTCCTGGAGAAGGCTTCAGAGTGTCCTTATGGAAATCCTTCAGGCAGTGCAGTTTTTCTTTTTGAGCCATTCTGCAAATACAGACATGAGTTAAGCTTCAACATTCGCTGTAGCGTTCTTTACACACGTTTGCAGGAACAATCGCTCATGGAGTTTTTTTTTTTTTTCTGTTTTTTGAATGATACTGTGAACGAATTCAGTGCTATTTCCTTTTCTGTTTTGCCTTGTTCTTGTTTATAGCAGACTAGGCATAGCTATGTGCGCTCCTGCCTCCTACTGCCTGACAAACTGATAACTACATTCTCGTTCATTAAAGGCAAGAAGTTTGGACTTCCTTCTTCTGTGTAGGATGTACACAGCAGTTGGCTTCCCTTAGGTTACATTACTGCCCCCTCTGGTAATTTCTTCATATGTTGCCTCCTCTGCATTCTGACTGCAACTTCTAGAATGTGAACCAATAATATAGATAATAAATTAGAAACAGAAGTAGGTATGTGTACATAGGTTTTCCTGTACTTGCTTGAGTGGACGTTTTCCTTCTTATCAACGTACAAGGCCTCATTTGCCTCATGTGTCTGCTTTTAATTCCAGTGATTCCTGCAAGACTTGTGACTGTATGAAGAACTCTTTGTTAATTTTTAGATTTTTACCTCACAAACATATGAATCAGCAATAAATGTAACAAGGCTTTTCTATCCAGGTTTCTTCAGCCCTCTGTTTAATACTAAGTAGACTTAGACTAAGTAGACTCAACTGTTCTTTGATTTACCCTTCACTTTCTTCCAGAATTTTTATTACAACAATTTTGACTTAAAAGGTTTGAGCTTTTATCTTTTATTGGAACTTGTTTGTGGACTTTTCGTTTAACCATTGAAACCGCAAAAAAGGAATAATTTTCTTCTTCAACTCTAAAGGTTAAATATAAATGAAAGAAAAGAAGATACATGATTGCTTTTAACAACAACCGGTTTAAAATAGATTTGCATCAATGATTTTGTTTAATAAAAATGCCAGTTTTGTGCCAGCAGCACTATATCTTTACTCAGTGTATTATTGTGTTTCATTGACCCCACAGTGGGCACTGTTGCTGTAGACACATTAATGATTACCTCAAACAGAAACAATTGCGTCTTCAGGACTAACTTCATGCTAAGTTAATTAATAACACTAAGAACAAACTGAGAGCGCTAACTTTACTGGGGCATGTTGGTGTGTGTTGTAACCGTGTGAAGGTATTTCCTCTTGTGACAAAATACTGAAAACAATAGAAATATCAATAGTTTCTGGTGGCCTTGATGAAGTGATAAACCTGTTACAACAGACCAGGATGACATTTTTGTTTAAACAGTTGTAACACAGTATAAAAGATTGTCAACAGAAACTATTTTGTTAGCTATTCTGTCCTGATAATGGATTAATTTTGGTCCATTCGCCTTTCATGACAAGGACTCACTCCTCTGTTGCACAGCTTTTCATTCTCAACAACATTCATTTCCAGCACTCCAAGACAATGTGGGGGCATTTAATCAATAAAAGAGTGTCAATTCAAATGTAGTTCTTTTGCCCTGTAGTTTATACCACCCTCCTGTGGCTGGAAAACAAGTCCTGACCTAGCGGAAGCAGTCAAGTAGGCAAGCTGCCCCATGGCAGTTTCAGTTACTATTTACTACATATTATTTTTACTTTTCAAGTTCTTGAAAAGAAAAAGGCTACAACATATACAGATATATGTTGTGGACACATGACCTTTGACCAGTCATTTAAAACGTTATACTTTAACCTTTTTTTTATAATTTAGATTTGCAAAATGAAACAACCACAGTCGATGGTGTTGATGATGTTTGTTTTATTGTTTCTAAGAAACCTTTGCAGTAGCAGCAGGGCGGCAGTTTGAAGGATGATAATCTGCTACAACATCTGCATAAGCTAAGCGGCAAAGGAAATGACACGTAGTCCCAAAAGAGGAGTTTGAGGGTTCTTATTACAAGTGAAGTTGTTTGCCTGTTTCTGTAAATGATGGATGCAGAGACATTACAGTCTGTCAGAGCACCAAGGAGACATACTGTATCAGGAGGAAATGTTGAAACCAGACTGCTGCCAACACTACGACCTCCACAGAGTGAACGTGGCCGTGGGAACCTCAGTTCAGTGTGGGTTGATTAAAAGTTCAGGTCAAAGGCTTGGTGTTAAATATAGAGACCCATTGTGCGATGCTTGTGGTGCGCAAGTGCATGTGTGCGTGCATGCCTTTACAGTAAGTTTACACTGGACATCTTATTTCAGAAACCTTTCTTTCAGTATTACTCTATCCCCCCCTCTCTCACTTTCTCTCTCTCACTTTCTCACTCTCTTCCTCACTCTCTCTACCTCACCACTTACATAACACACTCTCCTATTTTAAGACCGACGTACATTTCCACTGGGCTGACAGCCTGTGTTGTTCCTTCTCCTCCCTCGTACCATTTCTACTCCTGTCGGTCTATCCTAAAAAGGTCAATGTAGTTTTTTTTTTGACAAAAAATAATCAAGGGATGCTTTCTCTTTCTTTGTTGTATTTCCCATGATGCCTTTAGGTATTTCATCGTGCCAGACATGTCACATTTTCCTGTGCTACTCTCTTCTGTCTCTTCTGAGATTTAGTAAAAAAAAAACAAGTCAGCTTATATCCTTTTTTTTGGGCATGTCTTGTGCCCTATATTAGATTAAATTCCTTCACCCTGAAGTCACTTTTACTATCAGTCATTTCCTGCTATCGCCACCTTCTTGTTTTTCTAATGCTGCACGTCTCCCCATGTTTTCTCTTTTCTCTTTGTTTCCATTGTTTTGTCATCTTTGTGTTTTAAATTTATCACTGCTTGGCTTCACTCACTTTTTCTTTTTCCTCTTGCTGATCCCTTGAGGTTCATTTTAGAGCCTTTTTTTCTGACTTTTGAATTTGATTCTATTTTTAAAAAGGTGGGCTTTTTTATGAGAGAAGACTACAATGATATACAAAGGGAGATCGATGGGGTCGGGATCAAAGGGGCAGGGAAGAATAGATTAAAGAGAAAGCGCTGTTAAAGGTTAACTGTGAAGGATAATGGGAAGAAAAAATGGAGGCAAAAAGTGAGTCACTGCAAGACACACATTTGATCTCCAACTGGAATCTACTGAGAGAAGTAGTGAGTTCTTTTTTCAGTGACGACAAGACTGAAATAAAACAGACATTCACAGAGTTGCAGATGATTAAACATATCCTTAGTGTCAGAAACAGATTTAAGTCTTAAGCCTTTTGTAGTTCTACAGAGGAGGTCTGTTAACACACCGTGATTTAAACCAAAACTCCTTGATCTTATTTTCAACCAGCAACCAGAAGCTCTTCTTCAGTACCATGATGTAGACTTGAGTCTGTAGTTTGAACCCAACCTCTGGTTCCCCTTGCTGTAAAGAGGAACAACCATTTCAGTCTGCCACTGCAGCACGACCGTGCATGTCCATGCATTTAATGTCATTTGTATATGTGCTGTATGTGTTCAGGATGTACTGTATACTCTTCAGGATGTACTGTATACTCTATGTACTGTATACTCAGGATGTACTGTATACTGAGCTTCTGCATGTCCTCAGATACTGAAGCATTACAAAAATAACAAAACTGAACTTTTTGATAACACACTGTGAGCTTGTATCTAGATGTGTGTACCTAGAGTTACCAAAAGAACAATGTCCTATTCATACATAGAGCTTTCGTTCAATAGAAACAAAGATAAACTGTTTATTACTTTATTACTTTATATTCCCACCTATCATCCAGCACACTTGTAGCAGAATTGTAAAAAATGTATTAGCCTATTCGACAGCCTTGAATTGATATACATTTTGACCATGTCTAAAAAGTGCGCTTAATATTCAGCCACAAATGTAATAAATCTGCCAGTGCCATCTGTAAAACTGTCTGTGTGCTGCATTCTCCTTTGCCTGCCAAGGTAAATGAAACTTCAACTGCTGCCAATCCTTTTAATAAGCTGTTCTAACTACATCTAGAAGGTAATTATACAAAACACTCCAAGACTAATGGGGTAGCTCTGATGACTTTGAAGTTCAACAAGATGTGGGTCAGTGGTTCATGCTGGTTAACGTACAACCTTCAATATCAGTAGTTTTCAAGGATACAGTCGTAAAAGTTTGGTTGGTGTTTTTATTTACTCCACCACTGAAAGCTCTCTGCTCCAGTTTTCATTTTAAGACAATACTGTGGGAATGCTGCCATCTCTGTGGCTGAGATATTACCAACACACACAAACACACATTTCGCATAACCTCAGGTTACAGACATAATGAATGATTAAAGAGCAAACAAGTCCACAGTTTATACAGTGTCTTTCACTGCTCGTTTGTTAGAAGCAGAGAGAGAAAGCTGACTTTTGTGACAATTTAGGGGCTTCTTTTAAAAGAAAATGTATGAAGGTGTTAATGACAAATCCTACAAACTGCCAATTTTATTATAGAAACAAAATAAGTTTCAGATTATTCAAATTTCCAAAAGAAAGAAAGAAAAAAAAAAGCTTAACCTTTAAATTACTGTTCGTGACCAGTTAAGTCCATTAGACATACACACTGAAATAACACTTTATATGGCTGTCAATCTTTAGCCTGTTTTTAGTTTAGGGTTAGTGCTGTTATGTAAATTAGCACACCCACAGAACAACAGTATCTTCCCGGTGTAATGCCAACATTTATCTCTATGGTAAAATAACATATCTACTTTTTCCCTTTCTTTCTCTACTTCTAGAGGTTCCTTACTGTCAGTTCACACCACATGCAATTGTTCTTCTTGCCACATTTATGCTTTATATTTAATTTCCTCAAGACAAATCCAAAAGTAGTTGAAAAAAAGAAACATTGTGTTCAATTAGGGACCCCTGGAAGTGATGACTTGGACCCAAGGTCCCAAACTACTGGTGTACAGGCCACTTTCGGCCTGCAAACCACCCACAGTGGACGGGCAATGTCAGGATAATATAAACTGGGCCCTTGGTGTCAGTTTTTGGCCCTTCATTGAGATGACAGGGGAAACAGGGGCCCCAGCTCATTTGAGTTTGAGACCTGTTTAAAGACAATGCTCTTTTCTTTCTTAAAAAATAGGTTCTCCTTGCCAGTACACCTTCTGTGACTGTAGTTGTTCCCTCTTTCTACTTCCCTGAAGCCTATGAGTATCCTTTTTCTATAAAGATCGAAAAATAAACATTGTGAAATATAATGTATTTTGTGCCAAGTTCTAACAAGTTCTAATAATAGTTAGTTCGCTAAAAAAAAAAATTTGCTCAATATGTTCCAACAGTATTTTTTTTTTAAAAGCTCACAGTCTGCACATTGTTTTGCCAGTGAAAATAATGCCAGTAGGTGGCAGTCATGCAACCCGGCAAATGCAGAGCCGCTGTTGACGTAAAATGAATAAATTATTTTTTTATTAGGTGTAGGTAAGATTTTTTCACAACTTCACTTCATGCTGCAGTTTACATGACTTAGAATTGCCCCTATACTAAAATATACAAGTTGTCTAGTTGGAAGATATTTTGACCATCCACAAGTGGATAGGGGATTAGATGCTAACTTAGCACCTCCTGCAGGAGGGTGTTTTTGAAGGGAAATAATTTATTTTTGTTTGGACATTTACTGTATTTATCTGTTCATCCAGTCCGTTTTAGTTTCCGTTCTTACACATTCAGTTGACCTTTTTTGTGCATGCCCTCTGTGCAGTATCCTCTGCTCTACACCCTTTATGTGTTAACAACTCTGGGTAATTTTCCATGCTTATCTAAAAAAAGGAAGCACCTGCTATTAGGATCCAGCCAGACTCATGACACACAGCAGCTGTCATTAAAGAGATAAAGGAACCATTTAAACTGCAACACCAGGCCAACACCAGGTCCAACAATCGTAAGAACAACGGAGAAGAACAGTGAGCAAGGGAACAGAGAGAACACAAATGTCCAGAAGGAACATCAGAGGTGAACATGGGCTTCGCTCCAACTGTCGAACCACAGACACTGGATGTTTGAGGGTAAAAATGTTTTACTCTCTAAACATCACAACAAAACCCTTGTGATGTTTTTTAAGCAAAAAATAATCCACAGAGAAAGTGAGACAATGGTAGAGAGGCTGAGGCAGAGAGGGAGAGAGATGTAGGGGATGAACTGAGAACGAGGTAGAGAGAGAGAGGGAGAGAGATGTAGGGGATGAACTGAGAACGAGGTAGAGAGAGAGAGGGAGAGAGATGTAGGGGATGAACTGAGAACGAGGTAGAGAGAGAGAGGGAGAGAGACAGACAGAGAGCGAGAGAGAGCGCGAGGGAGAGCGAGGTTAGCAGCGCACGATGTCCAACGTGCGTCTGAGGAGCATCTCCGCCTCCTCACTGCTCCCACTTCACTTTCCTTTTATATTTCATGCCAAACGACGTGAAATCAAGTCAAAGGCACAGAAAACGACGTAAATGAACCTAATTGAAGACTGTTATTGTTTTACTCCACGTCTGTCAAGACTGGACCTGAAGCGGAGTCACGTCGACTCAGTGGGTCAGTTAGAATCATTGATATCGTTGCAGGACATTTGGTTGTCATAGTGTCGAGCACTTTTTTCTTAATTAGAAATAAATAAATGAAAAGTACACTCTAACAGCTGCTGCAGATACAAAGCCGTTAAGACGTCACAAATCCACCAGTTATCATTCCTGAGCGCAGCAGCCAGAGAACAAGGGGTGAGAACAGCACTGAACTCAACATTTGCATCTTTGTTTCACCAGAAAATAACACCATCCTGTATTTATACACCACAACACACACAGACAACGTAGAGCGCAGCATGGATTTTTTTCTCTCTAAGTATTTTACATTTTAAATAATGTCTGTTAACTTGTAACCTGTATGTATTCATTTAATTTACTAGAACATGTTTATTAAAATCCAAATTATGATAATAATTATAATATAAATGATAAGATAAATGACATGACAGTGAACCGTTATTCACAAGCATCGTTGGTGCATTACGGTTGCAGTTTACATCTTTTTTGTACTATTTAAAATCTTCAAATTTGTTTTTTTTTTTACCTGCTCTGATGATGCGATTCTTGATTATTTTGTCCTTTATTGTCCTTTGAGAGCGGTCCCTTTGCGCGTGTCCTCTAGTCTGCGTTTCCCCTTTGTCTGAGAGCTGAACGCGTCCGTAGCCTGAATTTTAACCTATTTATAAGCCGCTGTTTCTGACCTTTGTCTCTTGCAACGGTGGGGGACCAGAGACATCAGCGGCAGTGGAAAATCACCGGCCTGCCTCCTCACAGAGCAACAGGAGCGCCGTGTGTCTGATGATGCATTCAGGACCCTTTCATCACGTCAGACTTTTTTTTGTATCATTTTAACGGCTTTAGAAAACTAACCCCCAGTCCATGCAGGATTTTGTTTTTTCACCTCCATTTTAATTTGTTTTTATTTTTGGAGGTTTAATTTCATGTCAAAGGCATTACTGGGATGATTTTATTTCAAAGCTCATTATCTAATTTTCACGTGGTCATGATCTCAGATTCAACACAGAAACCGTTTGTCATTGCTACTCTGGGTCAGAGTTTTTCCTGTACAATTTCAACATTAAGACACAAGCTGTGAAGTCCGTCGCTGACTGATACGCACACTTTTCGGGTTATCAAAAAAGTGAAAATTTCCGAGCAGCCACTGAACGCATCATTAAGGAGAATTAAAGTGGCAGTCCCACCGCCACCAATTCATATACCGGTTTTCCCCTTTTTAAATCATATACCCTAACCTGCTCTTCAGTCGGTGCACGTGTTCTGGAGAGGATGCGCGCTCCCGCCTATCTCTGTCTCCATTACCCCACTAGGCTCCCAGCCTAGAGCGGGAGCTGGGTCAATAGGAGCAGAGAGTGTACTACAGGTTAGACAAGCGTGCCTTCAGATTACCACTGCAAATTCCCTTTCAAAACAATACTGTGAAAATGACTACAGATGTCATTGAAGTATCTGGAACCAGCTAGACCATTTCAAACATCTGCAATACAACAATGAAAATAAAATGCTGTAAATTCAGGGACATTTTTTTTACCGTTTGTATAGTTATTGTACTTTAATTAATCAGCTTCAAGTAGAAAAAAGTGTTTGCATCCAGTCTGTTTTTGATGACAAGAGCAGAACATGTGGTGTAAACCATGGAAACGATAAATAATTTAATTTTCCTGTTTGTATAGCTTAGTGTGGTTATGTATTATGCTTGCAATTACCTAAACTTAAACCCCTGTCTTGTTGTGTTTGTGAGTTCAGTGTAGGAAACAATAGACACGTCGGGTTCTTTTGTGTAAATGAGGTAACATTTCTGCTCTGTGAACATGTAGACCTTCTGTCCTGTCTCCACCAATACTTCTGTATGGAGTTCGCATGTTGTTTCAGCATGTATCTGGGTCTCTCCAGGTTCTTCGGCCTCCTTCTGTCTTTCAGTCTATCTATCTATCTATCTATCCGTCTATCTGTCTGTCTGTCTATCTGTCTATCTTTCTATCCATCTATCTGTCTATCTGTCTATCTGTCTATCCGTCTATCTTTCTATCCATCTATCTGTCTATCTGTCTATCTGTCTATCTGTCTATCTAAAGGAAAGAAGTTCAGCCAGGGCTTTCCTGTTGACAGACTGAGTGTTGCCAAACAGACTTTGCCATTCCCTTCCATTTAGAAAATAAACACTTCAGAAGCCTTGACCTAAATCAGGGGTTGACATTATGCTCAGTTTCTTTAGGATCACCCGTTGCCAACCACACCAAGTCTGGCCATCTATTGGCATCTGAGAATAAACATACAGTTCCCTAGAAAATATCGACATACATCTGACTTACCATCAAGTTCTGCATTATAATTTACATAAACCTTTGTTTTGGGGCACAAGATTTTTTTAAGTAAAAAAAAAACACTTCATCCCCTGGCTTTCACACCTCCACTGTTTATTTCCAGACTGAAAAACCAACTCCCATGAATGTACACAAAGAATGATTAAATTGTGTTTTAGAGATAAGCACCTCACAAGGAAAAATCGAATGTGAAGACGGTAGAGAACCTGTTAAATAACCTTCCACCTATCGATGGTTGGAAGATGTATTTACATTTTTTTATTGTAGTTTTTTTATATATTTGTAGTTAAACACTAAGTGGATAGCTAGTCAATGGTCAACATGATCTCTGTGACCCCATCGTAGTTATATGATGGCAGTATAAATGTTTTTAAACATTGCAGTAGGTGCAGTTTGGCTTTCCCCATGTTGTCCTTGACCTGGTTGTAAGCTGCTACTTAGCTGATGATTGCACATTATCAAGAGACCTCCGTAAAGAAGCTTGCTGTGCTTTCACACGAGGTAGAGTGTTATGTCCCAAAGACGCTGTCCAGGCCCAGAGATGTGAAACCACATGACACAGTAGGGTGTGAATAGGCAAGAATAATCTGGTAATACATACAATACATATCACAATACAGGGCAACGATATGATATATTGTGATATATTGTGATACTATAAAGGGATCGGTGATACATTGAGGGTTTTTCTTAACAATTTATTTAAAGGAAAACTGCAGCATAGTAAACATTCAATGCTGTCACTTGCTGAACATCAGGTTACTACAATTGGAACAGAGGGATCTACATTTGTAATCTGGAGAAGAAAAAAAGCTAAATTAATATTTGCATGTTAGTTGGTAATAACAAAATCAAAACAGTGCTGTAGATTATGGTATCGTGAAACAATTTGCTTTGTTTCAGTGTATCAATATTTTCTTACACCCTTACGATAAAGGAAAACATGACAAACATCTAGGTGGCGCACTCCCCAAGAACACATGGCTTTGTTTAAGTTTAATCTGTATTTTTTTCCTCATCTTATCTTTTGTCTTGACCACTATCTTACAGCATGCAACTGTGAGAAAGAGGAAGTCAAACTAGCTTCACGACCCTGTATTCATAGAGTCTTGCTTCCTTAATTACCTACTTCAGTCTTGTGTTTGTTTGTTTCAGTACAGTTATGAGTTATTGGTGCAAAGTCAGCACTCACTTCTTTGTGTATGCAATTATAAAAAGAACACACAAAAACTCACTGTAGTCTTTTACCACCGGGCAGAGCCAAATACACTCTCTGTGTGCTGAAATAGAAGTCAATAGACTTCTGACTAATGAAAACAAAACAAACAAAAAACAGATCCACAATGTGACCTATAGAGGAGACAGTGGAATGCCCCAGGCAGCTGTAGCCATTTAGTTAGCCAAAATACAACATCAGTCACAACAGCTCTATTAGCGCCAAGTACCAAGGACAAGAGCAAATCAATGCCGTGGCTTCAGTCTGTTTGTCTGTGTCAAATTAGCATCAGCTGGTAAAGTTCCTGAGAATAATTTAGTTTATTCATTTCATACATTTTATAGGTTATTATTTATTATATAAGATTAAACACCAGATCGGTTTCTACAAAGAAAAGTAAATGTGTTTTTAAGTGATTGTAACAAATATATTTGTTATTATTGTAACAAAACTCACAGTGGATTGTCTGCAAAATGATGCAGTGATATCAATTCACTAAACATATTTATTTTAATAAACATCTCACAAGGCAGACTTTTGGAATTGCTGTGACACACAATGGGGAATTTTACAGGGTGAGACTGACACAAGCTGCCACAGGAGGCGCCACTAAATACATAGTTGCTACTCAAAGGCTGCCACATGGGAGGCACCTTTTGGGATATGAGGTTCTTCTGGGAATTGAACCCAGGACTCTGGTCTCTGTTTGCAAGCCAGGCATGCTAGCTACTATGCTATGGAGCATATTTGTTTGAGCTGTGCATGGATATAGCCCATTTATATATGACAATGTCTGACTATACCGGCAGTAATACTTTCCCTTAATATTTATTTGGAATATTTGGTTCATTTAAAACCATTGAGGCAAACGGATCGTCCTATCCATCCATCTATCCATCCATCCATCCATTCATCCATCCATCCATCCATCCATTCATCCATTCATCCATTCATCCATTAATCCATCCACTCACCTCACTTGGGTCAAGGGTTTGCTATGTGATAGAGGCATGCTCAGTTCTAATCCCATATTAGTGAGTTTGCAGTCCAGAGATTAGCGCCTGTCATCTGACTGCCCCGGCTGGTCACAAAGAGGGTTTAAAATGAACCAAATGCACTGCTACCTACCACAAAATCATTGAAGGAATAGCTGAGTTCTAATAATAAGAGAAATGTCTGTAAAAGCTATGTTAATTTAAAAGGGACTACGATGTGTAAGTAGATGTTAGAGAAAACCTGATGCACTCAAACATATATCTTCTTCAGTAGATTTGAACCATGTCTGTGAATGTATGTATAGACAGAAGTATGGAGTCTTTTCTGGATTAATCTATAAATGAAATAGTGCAGTGTTAAGTCCTCGGCATGTTTAATCAGCACAGTCTTGAAATTGTAAGAAAAGCATTGCTGATAACTGGCACGGATACGATAGTTGCCATGCAACTTTTGATAATGTTGCCATGGAAATACTCACTGCTGCTGAGTGTGAAACAGGAAGTTGATCTGCCGCAGCAGGGGCTTTGTTTTCAGGTTTTCTTGAAACATTCTTTTTAGTAACTGTGCGGTGGTTCTTGTTTTCTCCTCAGGTACCAATGTGTCTGAAAACAACATACTGTACAGAAGTCCAGAACACAGCCATATTTTATTTATGTTTTTTTCTTTATCTTAACCTAAATTGATTTTACTTAACCAAATATGGAGTGATAGGAATCATGATATGATGTCAGTTATTGAAGCTTTGTAACGGGAAAAGGAGAAAATACAAACCTTGTTTTGTCTGTGATTGATTTAAGGTGAATGTAAGGGTTTTTTTCTTATTATTTTCATTGAAGTTACATAACATCAGACATGGAGGCACACTCCATGTCTTTTACTCCACTGTAAAATAAGTTGAAAATAATGTCTCAACATTTCAGCAAACATTGGTTCCATTTGACATTAAAGGATATTGGTTCCTAAAGCATTTTATGTAGCACCCCACTTACTTTATTTAAAAGAATCTTGCAAAATAATTTTTTTTTGGAATGCATTCTTTGATATTTAAAAAAAAACACTTCTCTCTGCAGGTGCAAACATTTATAGATTGTTCTTTGACTAATTTCCTCCACATTATTTGATATTGTATATAGAGAAACCTAAACCCTGCAGCATTTCACAGCAAGTGTAATCATTCAT